ACCCATTGGCTACACTATACTTGGGTTACATGAATGGATTTTATGTTGAGGCCAGTTATCTGTGTTACTGATTCTGAGTTGCAGTAAAGATGTATCAGGTAGTAAAGAACAGTTCATTCATTAATCCCTAGTAGCTAATCACTACAGTAAAGTTCTCATGAATCCCCAAGTTTCATACAGTACAGTATACCATCACAAGTAGTATACACAACTTCTAAGAGAGGTAGATTTTATCTAAAGGACTTTTAATTTCCTGAAGTTGAGTCTGCAATCTACATGGTCTCACAAGAACTGATTAGTCACCACAAATTCACTCACTCATGGTGAGCATTGATTACTTTTAACTTTTACTTTTATTCCTCTTCACTACTGATCAGCTTGGGCGATCGGTCACGTCTCTGTTACACACTGTTGGCAAGTACTGGGCATGCACCGACTCCTGAATGTATCTAAACCTGATCCAGGGCTGGTCAAGTCTGGTCTTAAAAGAGCTCACACTTGATGCCGCCACAACACACTCTGGTAGGTTGTTCCACAAGTTCACAACTCTCACTCAGAAAAAGATAGCCCACACAGTTTTCTGGATTCGTGGCCTATTCAACCTTGAGCTATGACCTCTTGGGGGCGAGCATCCACCAGCTCCAGATATGGACACAGAAGTGATTAGTGCCCTTTTGAGATGCTTATACACCTCAATTAGATCCCCCTTGCCCACCTGAAGTATAAGCTAGGCAATTGCATGTGTTTTAATCTCACTGGGTAGCTGAGGTGCCAAAGAGCAGGCATCAGTCTGGTGGCCCTCCTTTGGACATTTTCAATCAACTGACAGTCCCTACCATATCTCGGGGACCAGGCGGGGAAGTACATCACTCTTGACGATTGTTACGAGGGACGGACCATCTATATATCTGAACGACCTTCTTATAAGACCTAATAATTTAGTTGCTTGATTCACCTTCTTCTCACAATGGCCTGAGAACTTCAGTTCATTGTCAACATACAAATCCAGGTCTTTTTCTCATTCAGTATCAATTAATGCAGCTCCTTCATCCCGTTGGGATATGTGATACGCTTCCTTACTGTTGGTAAGTCCCAGGTGCATCCTCTTACACTATGTGACATTGAATCTTAACAGCGATTTCTTCGACCATTCTTGAAGCTCTCAGAGATCTTTCTGCAGCTCTTCACAGTCTGGTTGGTTCTTAATTTCCCTAAATAACTTGGTATCATCCACAAATATTTGTATGGAGGAGTGTATATAGTTTGTGGCATGTCATTTATGAAGCAAACAAACAACAGCGGGTCCAATACACTGCTCTGTGGTACCCCACTTGTCACGGGTCCACTTGATGATTTCGTGCCATTAATCACCACACACTGCTTGCGATAATAGAGAAAGTCTCTAATCCATGCTAGGACACTTCCCTGAATCTCGTACCCTTCCAGTTTAACTTTCAGCCTTTCATGGGGTACACTGTCAAAGCCTTAGCAAATTCTTGGTATATACTGTCAATATTGTAACCCTTTTCCAGAATTTGGATCCAAACATCCAGTGCCTGAGTAATTGTGTTAAACAGGAGTATCCCGGCATAAAACCGTGTTGGCAATCCTTTACAAGGTTGTTTCGTATATGTTCCGTCATGGCATCTCTTATAATGCTCTCAAGTACTTTACACACTATGCTGGTCAGGCTCATTGGTCTATAATTATTTGTGGAGTCTCGATCTCCCTTCTTGAAAACTCACGTAAGCCATTTTCCAATCACTGGGAACCTTTTGCTCATCCAGGCATTTACAGAACATGATCTTCAGGGGCACAGCAAGCTCATTGCACAACTCTCTTAGCACTCTGGGATGCACCATGTCAGAGCCAGGACTCTTATGAACCTTTAGCTTTGAAAATTTATTTCTTCTAACCTCTTCTGAGAACACAATGTGGGTCAGAGCATTTGTTGAACTGTCTGTCCTCAAACGCAGGAAGATTGTTTGCATACTCCCTTGTGAACACCGAGGAAAAGAAACTGTTCAACGCCTCCGCTTTGTCCTGGTCAGAATCTGCGTAACTGCCATCTTCAAGCCCCAGGTCGCACTTAATTTCTTCTGATGAAAAAATTTACCCCTTGCTGGAATGACTTCCCTTATAATCACATCTACTTATTGTAATCTAAGTGAACTAAAATGTGTGAGTAATCATGCCCTTGTGACAGACTAATATTATTTAGTGAGAAAAAGTGCCACAACCTCTAAATTCTATCAACCATAACTTTATAACTTTAGTAAGGAGAATATTACACTAATTTTTTAAAAGTAACTATCATTTCCATTTTAGTTCACATGGGTAATATATAAAAAAAATTGCAAGCCACCTAAGGATATCTGGGTAAGTTGGCCATATAACAGAGAATGATTTAGTGTACATTATTCCAATAAAATAGTTTATATATATCAAAAAATAAATAAAAAAATAAAAAAATACGTATATACAGGGGATATTTCATAACAAAAGGAAAATGCAGAGTATACTTGAATTTTTAGAAATCTGAATTTTCTATTCCCCTCTTCCTCCCAATTAGTATATACCGTAAATTACAATTTTACTATACCATACTGTATGGGGTTATATGATGGTACAGATAAGGCAAACACACACCGCTTTGTCGAGCATGAAGCAATGTAAACACAATAAATAACTCCAGGACTTTAAGCATGTCGGTGGAGAAGTGGAAAAACAATTATTAAAAATGCACCAAGCTGCAGAAAAATGGCCTCTGTAACCATAAGCACAAACTCAATTTTGTTTTAAAAGTCTTCAATTATGTTCTGATTTGTCTATAGTGATGCACTCTGAAGTATTACCCGTACCCGGTAACTGCCATCATCACCACCTTTTATTTTGAAGCTTAAGATGAAAAGCCTAGTTTGACAATCTGGGATGACAACTGAAGTTTGAAGATGATTGTCACCTCCAAAGTCTTTTTTTGCTTTAAACTACTGAGCGTTAAAAAGGTACTCCATGATTTAAGCTATTCATCAACCATCAAAGTTTCATATTTTTGTACATGTAACCACTGAACTGCAGTCTTCCATCAAGCAACTCTATTTCATAATATGCTTACCAAAAATCATTCGATGATTGTCTTTGGCTACCACACCCCCACACACCCATGCTTTCACTCATGCATTTGTTGTTTTCTCATTATCCCTCAAACCCCTTCATTCCACCATGAGGTTTGTCATTTTCCAACTCCTGCCTTTACTTTTTAGATAAAAATACCTGTGTGCTTGCCTTTAATAATTTCGTTTTTGTAACTATTCCACTTTCATGGTTTTCCATATAATGAATGAAAATTTCTTCAAATGAACATTTCAATTACAAGAAAAAATTAGGTTATATCACAATACATTATCTGAGGAAAAGGAATTTCAAGCTGAAAAGTGTCTTTTTGTCTCAGATTTAACTCACACTTAACACACAATCAAAACACTCTTCTGAGACCGAAATTATGCGCAACCCCCCAAAAATTCTTTGTAGTAATTCAATGGCATACAGAGTAATGCGTCACAGGAATGACTGTAATTACGACTCATCTATGTAATAAAAATAAAAACAGACTCACTTCATGTGTTGAAATTACTAAGACAGTAAAGTGTCATATATGAATATATATTATAATAATAATAACTTGTTGTGCTGTACTCACCAAAAGATGATGAAGTGTTGTGTAGACATTGGGTGAGGATAAGTACAGATGGCAGGGTTTGCCCTCTTGTGGTCTTGAACGCAACACAAAGCACCAGTATTTCACATATATTTCACTTTATTCACTTTCATTTCCACAAATCACTTCTCACTCTCACTAATATCCCCTTCACTATTTCATTAGCCAGGCAAATACTCTCTTTTAGATCAATGAATCAGCACTGGGCTAGAGCCACCTATAATCTCTGGTGTAAACTTTATGGAATCTCCAACACACTTAGTCCTGAATGCTTGAGTGAGTCCATGCAAGATACTACCTTACCAACAAGTTTATGACCAATACCTTACAGCTAAGCCGAGTCCATATGGTTGGGCCTGGCTCTGTACCAACCTGCTAGTGAGTGTCACCTATTGCTGGTACGTGGACTTGAGCCAACCACTCACTACTTTCACGGAAAGTTCGTTATACTACCATTTGTATGTAAGTCCCTCAAGATATACTGATGGACAAGTCCACAGGGTGTTAATTTTTACCAGCTTTATAATACACACTTGTCTACCGTTTTAAGTTCTACTTATCAAAAGGAAATTCCTAGTCTATGCCTGCTCTTTAAACCAAGTAATAAAGTTCTTCATGACTGTAGTTATATAAGAATTGATGAGGAGGTACGCACTGCACTGGTATGTTTGTGTGCTAGGCGTGTCACTCACTAGCCAGGTTGTGTGAGAGAGAAAGGGACAGAGTCCTGTGAGAGGATAGGGGTCCTCAACACCGGGGTGAGAGACAGAGCGGTAACAAGACACTGAGTGAGTGAGTGGGGCTGGGCCTCTTGGGGCCTCACCTGTCTCACACGTTTACCATGATACCAGTAGTAGCGGCTGCGGCACACCGCCACTCACGAACAGATAGTGAGTCCTTTTACTGCACTGATGGAGCTGGAGGACCACCTGACTTGCCCACTGCCACTGTTACCACAGAAAACTTAAATTTCCTGTAATTTCACTCAGTATTTCGTTCTCAACCACGAACTGACAGCAGCTGTAGTGTTGTGTTGTGACTGATATACTTCATCATTTTAGCAATGTCTAAATGGATTGTTTAGAGTAATTGTTGGTGTCAATCAGGTGTTTTATGTTTTAAAATACAGGTGACTGAATTAATTAACTGTGGTATCACAGTTGGTGATAGTTCCAGTTCTGGTTGTGACACGACCTGAGGAGAACCATTCAGTACCAGTGGCAGCATCAGCAAAATGCAGGATTCTCCATTGCGAGACTCAACCCTGGTGGTAGTGACGCACCTGAAGCCAATGTCCCCCCGACCTCTGAAGCCTCCACGTTCTCTAGGACGGCCACGACGGTCTCCTGCTGATTGTAGTGGCCGACGTAGTGGACCCCTGGCACGGGCCACTCGGGCTGCACGTTTACTCTTATGCAAGACAGGCGTTAGATTTATTCCTTCGTCTTTTGGAAACAATCTGCAGAGCTCCTCTGCCACACGGGGTTCTATTTCCTGTAAATTAAGAAAGAAAATAAGTTATACCTAAATTCTTCAATAAAAATAAATATTCTAATAAGTTTTCAGTATTAATAGTATATCTGGAGCCAAACTGTACAGCCATTTAAGACTTCTTAAAGCAGTGTAGTTTTTATAAAGAGATCAAAGATAAAAAAATGTGGTTTATGTCACTAACTATTCATTGCTTAACAAGTTTTATATGGCACTAAATAATTTGTATGCAATTAAGGCCATATATGTGGACTGATTATATGATAATGCATGTTAATATTAATATGAGATTGCAAAAGATAAATTTATTTCATCATAAATTCCATAAGAAAGGAACCCCTTGCCAGAAGTTCCTTTGAATACGCAACAAAACAGCAGCTTCAGCTTCCAACAATGAGTCGTAGTTTTTAATCTCCAGCTCTTTTATACCTTTTTCCATATAATCCTGTGGGATAAAAGTTACAATTCAGTGCTACATGGAATCAAAATGAGCATTATATATACTGTATATATCTGAGCTTTCACTTACCTAAGTGTACAAGGTTAGAACATTGAACAAACTTGGTTTTACACATAAGCACATAACATTTCAAATATATAACCACTATACTGTGTATATATATATATATATATATATATATATATATATATATATATATATATATATATATATATATATATATATATATATATATATATATGTATATATATATATATATATATATATATATATATATATATATATATATATATATATATAATGACTCATTTGGATAGAAGGAAGTGTGATAGAAGAAAAAACATAAGCATGTACATGTGTGTCTGTTTGTGTGTGTATTTTGCACATGCAGAATTTAACATTATTTCAAATGTGTGGACAAATTTACAGTGGCCCCCTAGGTAGGGTGACTTCTCCAAAGAGGAATGCATGAAGCGAGGTCAATGCATGGGGTACTGCCCGCTGACTGACCCAGGTAGTGAATTGACCTAAGTACAGTAATGTCTTGATGCTGCTCATCATACATTTACCTCCCCACAAGTGTGCTTTTTATGATAAAACACTGTACTTGTACTGTCTGTTCAGCCTTATTATATACCATTCACTTTTTATTTGTAGTTTTGCTACACTTTAATGCTCGTGCAATGGCTTCTGGTGATGGTTCTGTGTGATTCTAGCAGGAAGTATTACAGCACCTCAGAAAAGCTGAAAATAATAGATGTAGCTTAGCATAAGGGCAACAATGCTCTAACAGGAATACAAATTGGGGAGGTTTCATTTTGACACCATCAATGACAAAATGAAGCTGAGGTTATTTAAAATCAACAGGAAACTGAGGCTTCCTCTCTGAAGAGGCAAGTGCAGTCAAGGATGCAGGCACAGTTGGAAATGCAGAGTTAAAGTGGTACCAGCAACAGATGGCTGATGATGCTCCTGTGCTTGAAGTTAAACTTATGAGTGCTGCTGGATGCTTGGCCAAGTACTTAAGGAAAAAATAAGGTTAATGTTGTGGATTTTTATCTTTAATTTATTTGTATCAAAATCTTGTCCCTAGATTCTGTAGAGAACATGACATTGGCTAGTTGCCTGTACCTAGGGGGAGGAGGAGGGGGAGGGGGGCGGGGGGAGGGTGAGAGAGGATTGACCCTGAAATCCCATTCATAATCTTACATCTGGATCAATCAACAAGTTGTTTTAAAAAAATTCAAACCACAGGCAAGAATATGCAGAGATGTGTCAGTTGACATACAACTGTGAGAGGGATGATATGCACACACCTCAATAAAACACTCATAACTTACATATTTCATTTATGCATTCCTATAGTTATTACATGGTTATTGTTTTAATGTCACAAGAGTGATAAAAACTGGTGTAAATTGTGGTGGTTGCAGCTGATTAGCTGACAAATGGCTGTGAGAGGAGGAACAAGCACACAATTCTCAATTGTATTTTGTATTGTATATCATAAACATTTGTAAGTACTGGTGTTTCACCCTTTTTTATACTTACTGTACATTGCATTTCCTCAATACTGACTGATGTCTATATGTACAGCATCTCAAGTTTTTTTTTCTTACAAATTTATAATTGTTTATATGAAAAATCAGTTCAAGTACTGTACCCCCAACACTTTAATACTGTAAATTGTTTCTTATAAGAAAATTAGTTGACATATCACAATTCCACACACCACAGCCCTTGCGATAAACAAGGGCTACCTTTATCGCCAGCAAGTCTATGAGTTGAAACCCTTGGCCCACTTCAAATACAGTGGACCCATCTATATACTGTGGAAGCATAGTTTTGAGCCCCCGTGAGAGATCGTGCTTTCTCTTCTCCGACCAGTGAAAGACTCATCCCTAGAGGTGTAGAAGTTGGCAAGCTTGTCATAACACGTCCTCAAGTTAAGAGGTCAGACACATAACCTCTGGCCCTGAAGTGAGCGAGAGGTTATTGAGAAATGTTTTGGGGTGTTTGTTATACTGTACATACAATACCACAAGAAGATCGCTCAGCCACAACCCAACCGAGTCCTCACGGTTGTTATCTTACAAGTCCTAACCATGTTCCCTAGAAGTGTATGCAATTTGCATTCTATGATTAATATTGTGTGCAGTCTTCTTGAAGTAATGGAATCTCCATACCTTTTCTAAGCACCCCAGAGCTGCTAAGACCTACTTCCTACCATTTCTCTGAATTGTTGGGAGAATTTTTCCTCCAGACATAACATAATAGATTTCTCGAAGTCAAAAGAGAATTTTCAGCTTGAAGCCATATAACTCATTCTTAGTGTACTGAGATCTACCTTTAGAAAACATCTGAAGTATAACCTTAACTTCAGCTCAAGTTAAACTGCAAGTTGGTCCTTATCTGCCCTATAATACACCAACAGAAACTTGGTTAATGTTTCTGCTGGAGTCCTGAAAGCTTAGTGAAGATTTTCAGGACCACATGCATCCCAAGGAAACTACTATGGGCTGACAATATGGCTTTACTTACGACAAAATTAGCTCCTAATGCTCGGGCCACCTCATTTGAGATGCTAGTAGAGTGCCTTCGGGCTATATTATGAGGTTTTTGATGTGGCACCAAGATTCTAATACCAATTCTCTTTTTTGCTTGACACATACCAACTGGAGGCCTAAGACTTCTGTCACACTCTGGACAACATAGAGATCATGACATCTTGCAACCCCAGCCCTCCAAGACAAGTTTAGTAAATAAGATAACCATATCTAGACCTGATAAACAGGTAAGCACAACTCAAGTTCTAAAAACAGATGCAAACTGTCCTCAAATAGACCAAATTCATAAGCAGAGAGGAACAATAACCCCCATTTTTATTATCTAACCCCTCCTCTTTTTACTTTAGCTCACCACCAAGATCCTCTGACCAAGCAATTTTTTTACCATGGACTTACATAAGGTAAATAACCACTAGAATTTTTCACATAATAACTCTCTTTAAATGCCTTGTAAAAAAAATATATATATACAGTATATATATATACTGTACATATATATATATATATATATATATATATATATATATATATATATATATACTGTACTATATATATATATATATATATATATATATATATATATATATATATATATATATATATATATATATATATATATATATATATATATATATATATATATATATATATATATATATATATATATATATATATATATATATATATATATATATATATATATATTTAGTATTTCTATATTCTGCCTACTCCATGCATGACAGATTATTATTTCTCAAAGCAGAAGGATTAGGACAAGTCTAAGACTTATGAATAGAAGCATACCAGAAGGTACCCTATATATCAACAGGCCTCTATCAGAGTACATGACCCCTCTTCAAACTCTGTCTCATTTGCTTTATGTTGTAGCCCTAGGGAAACACACACATTACACTTCAGGATTTCCAGTAAAATATTGTATTTCAAGATACCTAACAAGATTTTGAAATATGGAAAAGCACCCTCGACTACTTGGCCCCAAAAAGCTGAATCATACTTACTTACCAATATTGGCTTCATAATACCTCATTACCTCAATTCCCCCATTCATCACTGAGTTACCTGGATCCAGACATCAGGTTATAAAATGAGTTCTTGGGGAGGTGGAGGGCCCTCTTTTATTTTCAAATTGTGTAAAGTATTTTACTTTAGTAAGTATGTATGTATGTGTAAATGTTTTTTGTTCTGTTTTAAAGAAATATAGTATACACCAAAAAGCAAAATATAGACTGTTAAGACTTAGTTTGTCAATGGCACTTGAAATCTCCACAAGTTCATACCTGACCATCCCTGCCAATCTTAACTGGTTTGCCTTCATTCCAAGGATTGTAAAGATGCTGTGTCTTGGTGAATGATAAATCTCTCCTGTAAAGAAAAATTTGACTGTTATAAAGGGAAAGTTTACACCATATCATACATGACAAAATAAGGTTAGCATTCTCTCAGTGTACGGTATCCCTAGAAAGTAATGCCTCAACAATACACGAGTCTGGCAAAATTAAACTTACACTTACAAATTAATGGATTAGTTTAATCTTCTTGGTGTATCTGGTATCAATATCTTGATATAAGCCAGCGCTTATCAAGGGCACACTTAAAACTATTAGTATACAACTGTTATATTATCAACCACATTACTGTACTTGGGAGTGCATTCCAGGAACCAATTACTGTACTCTCTGGCTGAAGATATTCTTTTAAATTTCTAACCTGAAATACCTTTTAAAAATCTTCAGATTGTAATCTCTTAGATTCTGTGTTATGCTGCAAGAGAAGAATGTATCACCATCCACATATCTTGTCAGTTCAATGTTTTGAGTGTGTCTATGAGGTCTCCTCTCTCTTTCCTCCTAGAGTAGAAGTATCTTCAGCCTACATAGCCTCTCCTCATATGGACATTGTCTCAAACTTGGTACTGACTTAGAAGCTCCAGCCTCAATCTGCTCCAGGCACTTTGCATTTGACCATGCATAAATACAGTACAGTACTTGATATGTGGTTTAATGTAAGTTTTGTACAGCAACCTAAAAGATTCACAATTCATTGTATCAAGATTTAACATATCATGGCTTAGGATACAGTTTTGGCACATTGTAGACTTGCCTCGAGGTTAATTTTTCATCCACATACCATAGGTCTTTCTTCTCCTTTATTTCTCTGAACACATGAGCAATGCCATTTCTGACATTGAGACAAAATAGGTACTGGAAAATATTTCTCCATACCAGAAAATTACATCTATTTCCAAAATAATACAGGAATACATTATTAACTTTTGTTACCAGCGATTTCTAGTATCCAATACACCTTTATTGAGAGATACTACTGTAGGCATCTGCAACATGATATTTAAGAAGAGAGCAAATACCGTAAGCTGATCACTCAGAGTCAGGTCGCACAAAATCCCGCATTGACTCCATACTTGTTAGAAAATCAGACATGAAGTTCCTTAGCTATGTTAAGGAGACAACAGGTGATGAATGTGTCTTGTAGCAAAGATTTATTATGTATGATATGCTCCTAAAATGGAAGAGTCACAGGAAGGTGTAGTGAATGTTCTGAGGGGAGAGTGTGTGGAAATTGAACGAAGAGGGTGGAGTTGAAAAGCATGGTGAAGGGTGTTGTATCGAGTTGCTGGGCCAAATAGCGGGTAGAAACAAGGCCGTTTCTGGTGAACAGTAAGTGAAGAATTACTAAGGATAATGAGGAAATCAAGCATTTTTGGAGGATTAAAGTACTGTATGTCATTTCACTTTGTCTAGGTGATCTAAAATAGTTTACCAATGTAAACATTTCAAGATTAGTTTCAAACCCTCAAACTCACCTTGATATCCAATCCAGCTCAAAGACTCCTCCTAAGGCTCGAGCTGATAACCCTGGTGGCAGCACCCATGTAACAGGAGGAAGGTCCCTTCGAGATTCACCAGCAAGCCGCGCAAATCCTGCAGTACGTAGTAGATAATGAAGTGAAAAAGACTGATATTTTATTATAAATGATAAGCGTCAGTAGCCACAAAGCATTTAGTTTTATAAACAGATACTGTACTGGCAGACCTCAACATCTGTCGACTCGATGGCCACAGTTTCAACTATTCACAGTGATATAAATTGTGTACTATTTTAACACACACAGAGGGGGCTTCAACAATTCATGGTCATGCATGATGAGGTGAATCCTAGATAGAACTACGATAAAATGCAGTACATCATACTGCAACCTCGCTAATTTGATATTGTTGGGGCTTATCCCAATGTACTGAAATTACCCCCATAGTTAAAAGTTTGGCAGTCTTAAAATACAGGAAGGTCTCGCTTAATGAGTGACATGCTCCATTGGCAGACAACAAGTTGTGTGTCACTGAAAAAGACACTATAGCACACAGCATTGTTCCTGCACAAAGGCTGTTCTTCAATGCATGGCAGCTTTTGAATAATCTGATGAATTTTCTTATTACCACCATGCTATTGTACTATTCCAGATGTTACTAAATGTTACATTATACTTCCTTGAGATAAAGGTACAGTATATATCAGGTGCCTACAGGAGAGCTCAGGTTCTCAACTGGCTCAGCAGTGTTAATATTGTTATTATTATCCACTCTGTATCTGTGTTTTTCTGGCTAAATAAACTGTTTCAATTCATTTCAATTCAACAAACAAATAATTAATTATAACAGCAGTTAAGAAAGTATTGATGAAATATATATTTTATACTTGTACATGTTACTGTCCCTTGAACATTTACCTGGCTCAAGTATGAGTTGGCCATGTAATGGTTGGTTAGTACTTAACTCTTGTTTGTTAGTCACTGCATACTGAATACTGGTGTGTTTAACTATCAACTGTGCAAAACAGAGTATCCGATCTGTCTGGCCTGATGATGATGAGCTTAAGCTTTCCAAATACAGGGGGCCCCCAAGTTCGCGGATTTTTATTTCGTGGTCCACTATTATTCGCAGATGAGACCCTGAATGTACCCAAGAATGTCTGTGGGCAGTTTTAAAGTTGCCGGCATTTTCGCGGCTGGGACAGGGTGCCATCCGTTCTAGACAGTAATTTCCTTTACCTGTATTGCAAATATGTGTGTGTAGACACACACACACGCACATACAAATAAATAATACTAGTAATGGGAAAATCCTCTCACAAATAATTAGAAAAAAAATTTATTAAAAAAGTGAGTCTACCCTCAAGTCCGTGCTTTATTAATATTTATTAATAAAGTATTTGATAATAAAAGCAAACACTGTACAGTACTGATATTTACAGGTCTACCTGCATATTTTTTTCTTTTCTCTTGATGATGTTTGTTACCAAGTTAATAAGAGTAAATAGTCTGTCTGCCTTCAGTCTACAAATCATACCAGAAGTGACACACTTCATGGTCAAGCTCATCAAAATCTTAACCTTTTCTTCTAAACTAAACATCTTTCTCTTTTATTTTTCACTCAAACTGAAAGGATAAGCAACTGCTTGGTAAGTGGGGCATGTGGTAAACTCAGGGGGAATTGCAGAAGAGAAAGTGTCCTTGACACCATGACTGCACTGCAGTATTGTACTTTAATTGTATTGTCACAACTGTTGATTTAAAATGCTTCCAGCCTTACTCCTCAAGTATAATAAACATTTTGTCACAATAAAAAAGAAAATGGTAGCAATTTAGGTAGCCATGAAATCATAATAATAATTGTTAAAATTATAAACCCACAAAATAACCCGCGACTTTTATGCCACGCTTATACTGAACTTATAGACTGTAGTACAGGTATTTCTAATAATGGTCCTTCATACTTACCACAAAAGCGTCCACTCTCTTTAATGGAAAATATGAGAATGACATTTCTTGCTTCCCTGAAGGCTTGGTTAAGTTTAGCTTCATTCTGAGGTGGAGTGGACCAAACTCCCTTTGTCTTAGAGAGTGAAATGTTCTCTGCGTTATTTGATTTCATGAGGAAGAACCTTGCGTCGCGGAACATGTAGTTCACTTTGGTAATATAGTCGTATTTCTTCTTTGTAGAACTTTCCTTCCCTTTCTTGAGTGCTAAAATTAAGAGAAAATAGAATTCTTAGCTAACTAATGAACTTACCAAGTCATAATTATTACTGTACACATCTACCATAGTTATTACACAGCTATAATTCACAGGCAGGGTTTGCATCTACTCGAATGTTGTTTAATTTTAAAATCAGTTAGGCTGGATTTACACTGAACAAGCAAGACAAAACTGTGTGAACATGACCTGACAAAATATCTTGACTGATGGTTGGAGCCAAACTGAATCAACAGGGCAGGACAGAACCTGCTAGTCAGTTGTTGACAAGCTGTCCAGTGATGATGAAGATACTGTAACAATATGATGTTTGTGTATGGGACAGGGGTAGTGTGTGGGAGTGAGGAAGTGTGTGGGAGTGAGGAAGTGTGTGGGAGTGAGGAAGTGTGTGGGAGTGAGGAAGTGTGTCAGACTGTGGCAAAGCATATTGGTGATGGCTGATGCAGTGTGTGTGGACATTCTCCCTATTTCAGTATTTCTGTACTTTCAAGAGGATGCCATTCTGTGGGTTGGTGTATATATCAACTCCAGTAGACAAAAGTAATAAACAGAATAGAGACATAGGCACTTACAATCTTCATTGCTCTTCAAGGACGTTTCTGATGTACTACGCTTGCGTTTCCTGGTATCATCTTTATCTTCAGATTCGTCCTTCTCGACTGTGGGAATTGAGAAATTGAAGAAAATTTAATTGATATGAAATACACCAAAATTGTGTCTTACCACATAATGCTAATGTTTACCACAACAAGCAAGGATGTACTGAAATTAACATTACAACTGTGCATATTAAACACCCAAGAGAAACACTGTTGTTTTAATAAGACATTGTTTTACTCCAAGGTCTCTTACGGTCTCTCTTGTCAATGCCTAACTCTTATGTCAATTCTTACAATCTATCCCAATGTCATTCTTGACCAGCCCCTGGCTCTCCCCCCCCCCTCTACATTTAGACACTTGCATCTCTTGGTCTCATTCGTTATCCTTACATGCCCAAACCACCCTAGCCTTCCTCTACACAGTACAGCGCCAATACCTGTACTCTCAATAACCAACTGTCCTGTTAGCTCTTGAATACGGCCTCCTATCTTTCACTTTCACTTTATACTTCCACTTCACCATTCTACTTATGCCATCCTCTTTAACTGTCCAAGTTTCACTGTCATACAACATCACACTTCTCACATCAGCTACATACTTTCTTCCTTTCACTCAGAGGGAAGGACCTCTTGACATCATTAAAGGCAACTGCTCCCTTAATTTTCTCCAGCCACTTCTGACTCTTGCAACTGAGCAGGCTTTAGCCCCCACTAGCACAGATCCTCATTACCAACAACCATGGTATTGTGGAATTTCTAATGCACTACTCACCAACAACATCCTTGTATTTGCTGGCTATTGTGAATACCTCTCCTATGCATTTGCACTATTCAACATATTGATGACTGTGCCCTATTAATGCTTCTTAACCACCAACATTACTATTTAGACCACCTCCCAGTGCTAGTCTCTCTTTCACCCAGCTTCAATACAACATGCATTAACTCAACCAAGAACTCAACCTTCACTTAGCCCAACTTTGTGGGGCAAATGCAGATATGACAGTCTTCAGATCCTTTCCTGTTAGCAGCTTCAGAACCTGAAGTCTCACATTAACCCTTTTCACCTCTTGTACTTCCTCCACACACTTTTTACTGAGCAAGGTTCTTAAGACGTGGGTCAATTGGAATATATTTATTAGCTATCTAAAGCAATAATCAGACTGATAAATACTTTAAACACAAGGATTAATGACTTACTTGAGGAATCCCTCGAGATAGAGGATGCTCTGGATGCCTCACTCATGGATGGTTCATCGTCTGAGAACTGGTGATCAGATGATGCTTCACTCCGTGTGTCAAACTCCATATCTCCATCTCCTTCTACAGCTTTGTCTCCTTCTTCTGTTGAGTGTTACATTAAAACATTATATTGTTAACGAAGTAACTAATATAATTTACTAATGCATACAAAATTACAATCACCAAGACCCAAAACCATTGTAAAGTATAAATCACTGACTGAGACTTGAAAAATAAGACCAGTCTCAAGATCTATATCATGTCTTCATACTCATATTTGTGTTGCTATGGAGACAGCCCTATAATTTTTTTTAATACAATACTATACTTCCATTTTGTACTGTACAGTAGACTTACACAGTAATACTCTGTACAAATAAAAACTAAGTACAGTTCAGTACATCATACACAGGTCGCTTCTCCTAACCTGTCATTTCGCTTGAGATCCAGCCTTTGCCAACCATGGGAGAGTTCTAGAACATAACCCCAGTTGTTGGTGAGGAATTACTGTACAGTATATACAGTACAGCTGGATTAATTGACACTACCATATGTAGGATGACAGAGTAGTGTGTCAACATCCAAGTTGCACCTTTTATTAACACAAATACACCAACACTGAGAGCTGACAGTGAAATACAAGAGCAATTTTATACGTCCTTCAGTAGAATATTGTTATGGGAAACATTAATACCAGAGATTAAAGAGATGCAGACTTAAAGAACCACATTGTGATGAAGGCAGCAGGGGCATAAATCCATATTATCTTTTTCCTTATAACACGTGTTCTGGATATAACTTGGCTACAACTAACACTTTTATCACAAACAAACAGACAAATACAAAACGAACCAAGTGATCATCATAGTCAGAGTGATGTAATCATTACAAGGGTCAGGTCATGCATGGTGCAGAAGATTGTTGGACTGACCAAAATAATTCATGTTCAACTTTCTATACAAATTGAAAAAGGCCATAAAAACATTCAGCTAAGATGGACAACATTCCATCTAGAGCAGTGCATTAAAGTAAAGATTGAAGCTGCAATCAAAATCTGACTGCAACAGATCATTACAATGCACTTAAGAACAGCACATTAACTTTTTTCCACAGATGTTAAAACCCCAAGCTGCTAAAAATAAAAAATAAATAATAATAAAAAACATCCATATGGGGTATAAAAACCCTGAGTGTCAAGTCTAGGCTAAATATTACAGTACAGACAAGTTTTAGTGTACTTACATAGCTTGACTTGGAAATTCCCCACCTTTTGGAATTTTTTACCCTGCAATACGAACAATGCAGACCCCCGCCCAACCTGATATTTCAACCAAACTGGACAAGCCTTCCTCCCAATTATTCAGGATTAGAGGGAGTTTGTACTCACAAATTGTTAATGAATAATTAGATTATCAAATATTACAAGTCTCCAAATTTCAGGCATTGCACACAAAAGCAGACATAGTATCCTCTAAATAACAAGTACAAAAGCAAATTCCAATACAACTTACCACCTTCAGCCTCCTTTTTGATACTCTTGGGCTTCTTCTTCCCCTCCCTCTTTGCACGGGCTGCTTCCTGCTTCTCCTTTAACTTGGCTCTCTTGGCTGCAATTTCTTTAGACTCATCTTTTTTTACCTTAGCCATGGCATCTTTCACCTCTGCAACTTTCTTCCGGCGTTTATCTTAAGGAAGAACAGACATGAGTTTCAAACCTGTTTAATTTCATTATACTGTACAGCATATTTTAAATTAATGAATAAAATGAAAACGGTTTTAAAGAAGTGAATAGCCAACTTAGTAATTCAACTCACTGGTTTTATCGTCGGACACATCATTCAGTTCATCAAAGTTTTCGGCAGAATCCAACAGTTCTTCCATTAAGTCCACTTCCTGCTCTCCTGAAATGACAAACGAATCTGTATACAGTACAGTAGTTGCCTCCAAATATACACATAATAATCCAGTCTTCAGTTTAAAGATAAAAATACTTGAATTACATGCACTTAATGGAAATACCTGTACTAAAAAACTTCAATAAGTAAAATGAGAACACGACCCTGCTTGATTTGGTATACTGTATCACATTAGCTCAAATGGACAAAGGTGCATGCCTATTACCTAATAGCGATCCTGTTTGATGGAAAAATGAAGAACCGAAATATGAAATCCATTTGATGACATAAGGGAAGACATACAGAACTGCTAAATCACTCTCAGGCAAAGCCTGTCTTCTATTAATGGGCTTGGTATGTGTACCCTAAGTGTAGCACTTTGACAGTGGTTTATGTACAGTACTTGGCACATCTGCATTCAACAACCAGAGGCGGACCATTCCATAAGTAGCATGTCCATAATGTAAGGGTTAATGGCACAATACATTATCCAGACAGACAAGGCCAAATAATGCTTGTACTGCATGCTGTACTTCTTCTCCAGCAGAATCAAAATTGAAAATTCAGTCACTCATATGAGTTGGTGGTTATTTGACAATCAAAATATAACTTGTGAGTACACCTCTTCTATAAGTTCAGTAATGTTTCTTCTCAGACATATTGCACCAATTCCACACAAAAACAGCTAACACAAAGAATCAGTATCATTCACTTACTTCTGCAATATTTTGAAGAAAAAAAAAATTCTGGAAGAGAAAATTTTTTCACCTGGCAAAGGTTAAAATGGATAATAAGTACAGGTCATAAAAATTTTATAATGGTTATTGTCTATCTGACAACACAGTTTGAAATGTATATTAGCTCTACATTCAATATGAAAATGCGATTTCTTATTTACGATCAGGATACTTTTTCCCATAGACCTCCATTGGTATTTTTGCAATAGTGCACACAACATTCCTACCCAAATCTATTATCATGTTCGAAAAAGACGTCTAATTTCAAGATAATTTTCTTTTATTACATTACCGTTGGAAACATATAATAACAGAGATAGCGCATGCCAAATCTCTCTATTTTCTTCCATTAATCTTCCACCATTATCGCCTACCCGACCTCCCACTCAGCAGTTTCCTTAACAAATCTTCATGTGCATGCATTCCTGTACACGTCACGTGACCAATCAAAACGTTTTTTTTTTGCCACCAATTAAAATGAATTGTGGTTTAATTTGCAGTATTTTTTGCCAAATCAGTTTTGATTATGATTTTGGGTCTTTCATATTTCGAAATTCAAATTCAATTCCGACCATGAAAGTCTGCGATGGGTGTCACTTCAATTACATGAAGCTGATTGCTCGTTTTCGGGAAAAAAAACGAACACGCTATATAATTTTTTTGATCTCATGGTGTTCTCCCGACCTCAGTAAAGTGTCCTGAGTGTAAGAACGAATGTAAATATTGTCAAGACCAACATACAGTAGTTGGCATTGTAGTAAATCTGACGATGAACCAGAACCAGGCCAATAAGGTAAGAAATGTGATTCCATCATATGGTGAGAGTTAGGTCAGGTTAGGTCAGGTCATCCCAAAAAAAGGTTCGGTTTATGTTTTTCAAGTGATTTTTTTTTTGTATTTTGTATTTGCTTGGCCATGATTTTTTTCGGAAAACGCCCCACCCAAAACCCCCGATAACTAAAACAACAGGCAATTTCCGACGGAACTGAAGGTCCAAACCAACCAAAACACAAAAATACAATAGAAAAACATAGTTTTGACTAATGCAAATTTACCCCTCCAATACTCCCCTGGATGTCCCATATTGCCTCTTTGGGTGTACAGTAATTACTCACCTGTTCCGTATACTCCGGAGTCAAGGGTATACAAAATTTTTTTCCTAAAGTGATCCTTCTCACATGTCAATGTTGTGGCTACATTTCTACCTTTATTTTCTATACATCATAATTATAATGCTGTTCTACTCACTGAACAATATACTGTACACAACAAATAACAGTAAACACAATATTCTGCGAATAACCAAGTGGTTAATGGACCGATCAGTGGTTAAGAGGATAAAAGTAAACACAATACAAATAACACATTGTGTTATACAGTATATAAAATATAGATAAGAGCATGTGTTATACGATATACACAATACAAATAACTGTATAAATGCTCCACAATTACCTCCAAATTATATTAAACAACAATACACAGTGATCAGTCACACCCCACCATAGTCTTCATCGGCTGATAATCATAATAACTGTGCTTCTCTGTGTTTACCTTTGATCTCGGTGTTATCTTCGCTCATTTCTGAATAGTTTCAAACTTGTACTGATCAAAAAACTGTAAAATGAGAGAGAGGAGGAAGCGAAGAACAAGGGAGTGCACCACAACAATGTTCCTTCCTCGGGAGCTTCTCTCGTACAATCTCGTCTGATGCGAGATTTTTTGATGTTTAAGTCTGTTGCATTAAATATTAATATTAAAAATATGTCTATACATTTCTAATCAACTATATTATTTATGAGTGAAATTGATAAATATATAATATGTCAAAATAGATTCTTCATAGACTATCCAAGGCACTGTCAGGGGTGCCAACATTACCAACCATTATATTTACAGTTTGATGTTATTTGTTCTAGTTGACTTTATTGTATTATCTTATTTAAATAACTGTGCTTAACAAAAATAAAATACAATATACGAAACAATGTTGATTAACCAAGACATATTCAATCAGCGTTAACAAATAAGTGAATGCATTTTTGGAAGTGGTTATAGTTCCGTCGCCATAATTACAGCATAACTATAGATAGATAAATATATAGATAGATAGATAGATTAATATACCATAAAATCACCAAATAACATCACATTAGTGCAGCATGTATTTAACCAATTTACATAGACAGTGTCAGGTATATAAACAATGGGCCAGTATACTGTACATGTTCCGTAGGCCTATGGAACCAAGGAATATATTTCTTGTATAAAACGGCCTACCAGCTTAACCTGTGGAATAGAGAACATCACTGGCTAAACTGGGCTTCACCATAAAGTTTTTAAAGCAGGAAATAAGGTTAGTAATTACACTCCTCCCCTCGGCATGGCCACCTAGTTGGTAGCCATTACTCCCATTAGGCATATAAGTTAAATAGTCTCTATGCTGAATAAAATCGTCTGGCATTAAAATATAAAATACTAAAAATGGCGACCCGTAGTGAAGGGCGTTAAGATATACTCGAGATTTATGTTGGTTCGAGGTTCAGGTGTGGGGTTCGGGCTTCGGGTCTCGTGGGTTCAGAGTCATGTCACTGGGTCTGGGGTTCGGGCTTCGGGTCTCGTGGGTTCAGAGTCATGTCACTGGGTCTGGGTGAGGTTCAGGTCTGGGGTTCGGGCTTCGGGTGTCGTGGGTTCAGAGTCATGTCACTGGGTCTGGGTGAGGTTCAGGTCTGGGGTTCGGGCTTCGGGTGTCGTGGGTTCAGAGTCATCAGTCACTGGGTCTGGGTGCTGGAGGAGTGTCAACAACAACAAGACCAAGGTGGTGGTGTACCTTGTTAACTCATACATTACAAGACAAGTACACCATTAACGAGAAGATATACTACAGATATAATAAGACGTTATCTCTACCACTACATGAGGATGAAGTTACTGATGATAGTAATAACTTATACCTGCATATCACACCATTTTGCAAATAATGTAAGTTAAACACACATCACTATTAGATGATAACAACCCGGTGCTTATGTTAGTTTCGGTAGTGACCAAACCACAAAACTATATTGATTTGTATATAAGGGGATAGAAAAAAGGTTAATGAATACAGGTATGGTAGTCGTATGCCAAAACTCACACTGGATATAAGTACGGTAGCCGTATTGACATACTGTGTTGTTAATGGTTAGGTTACATTAACTTAGCATACAGTAGGTTAGGTTAGTCAGAAGACCATCTTAGTAACTATCATTGTATAGTCTGCTCACCACCCATGCACATTAGGCCACCTTAGGCCGTACCAATAGACATTGACGTTTCACATTAGGCTGCCGTACCTGTATCTTGTGCCCCCTAAAAAATTACTTTATAGTATTTTTCGGAAATTAAAAAAATAAAATCAGATATTTTTTTTTGGTTTCACTTAAAAATGCAATTTTGATCACTCAAAGTGGGCACCCCCAGTGTGTAAACCTTATCTAACAACACAAAATAAAAACAAAAGGAATGTAAAGTAGCAAACCTAGTGATTAATATACAGGATACAAAAAAGGAAGAGAAGAAAGACAAAAAGGAAGAGGAAAACCTAACCTAACTCTATCTTTGTCTTGGTGATTTTGCATTGTTTTATGAAGTGCAAACTTAAAACCCTCCAAATTTTGTTTACTCTTTTTTTTAAACAAGTCAAAATAACTAAACATATATATACGTACATATATATAGGGGATATATAAATTTTTGACAAAACACTATAGAGAAGAGCACTTTTTGATTTGCTATGTCTCCCTGTATACAAACCAATACTGTATAGAGTTCCATGGTTGCTCGCTACTGAATATTAACCATAGTAGTGACTGGTTGTGTAGTGGAAGTATATACCCTGAACTATAAGTTATCAGTAGATATATATTTTTTTTAATGGGCATAAAATAAAGAGTGCCATTGTTTACATCTGGCGAGACTGGGGTCTTTGTGAGATATCAGAATTATAATTTTACACTTGTTTCATTTCAGGTTGGAGATGCATCACAGATACTGAAAGGGAAGACCCACACTAATAATTGGGCAGTTTTAGTGGACACCTCGCGCTTCTGGTTCAATTATCGCCATGTAGCCAATGTACTGTCTATGTATCGTTCAGTCAAGAGGCTTGGAATCCCTGACAGGTAAAAAACTGCATGTATCAGTAGTCTCTCCCCCTTTTTTTTTTGCTTACTGTACTTAAGTTACAGCTATTAATACTGTATGCCCTCTCAGCACACTTCAGTAAGTTACATATTACTGTGCACTAATATTCCCTCTAAGCATATGTTATTAAAAAGTATTAATGTACAATACTATTTCATATATTAATATTTAAATTACAATAACACTAAATATTAAGATATTTATATACAAATATATACACTTTTTATATATAACTGGATTGGTTAAATCTGTTCTTCGTCATGAGCTTCGTTGTCCAGTGCTTGTACAAGAATGTGTCTTAATTTGTCTACCTGGTGAAAGCCATTGTAGCAAGTATTATTGGTGATGCTGGGATATAAAAGAACACAATTACATATCTGGTAACATGCTGGTTCTCTTTATATTTATTACTACCCTGCATCTCTCTTCTACCCCAGAGGTTAGATTCTTTAACATAATCATGTTACTGTATTTGTATTACCGAGTATGGTTTTTGCTCACACCTCCTGGCTCTCATCTGTAGTAAGCAGGCTTGCAGAAATGAATTTATGATCCAAGTTGGTTTGCTACATTATTTTCTTATCACAAACTAACATATCATGGAAATTGAGAGTTTATTTTATTTTTAACATTGGTCACAATGACTTAATGCTGTTTACTAAATTTATAAGAGTATATCTTTATTTCAGTCAGATTATTTTGATGGTGGCTGACGACATGGCATGCAACCCCCGCAACCCACGTCCTGCAACTGTATTCAACAATGCCCATCAACATATAAACGTGTATGGAGAAGATGTTGAAGTTGATTACAGGGGCTATGAGGTTTGTTTTATTAATATTTAACATTACTATTACTGTATTATTATTATCATCATGAATATAGTGTCTTCTGTCTGGAGAATATTCTTGGTTTTATGTTGCAAGGTATTGGTCACTACAGTATTAATCACCTTGTCTGTTCATGTATTTTATCTATTTCACTCTACAAATTTTACCAACCTAACTCACACCACAACAGGTAAATGTAACTTCTAAATTGGTGTACGTCCAGGTATATTTACTTTTTATGATATGAAGATGTATCTTTTAGGAGTCATTCAAAATTTTGATAAAACAATGATTCTGTTTATTTACCGGTATTGTTTATTTTATTGAGAATGTGTCCAGTTTTCCTTTTGAAGTAGACTTTATGTATCTGTTTTAGTTATACCAATGGGAAGAAATAAAACACACTGTACTTATCCCATGATACTGATTTCATTGAGGCTGACACTAGCCACTTTATTGCTTCATGTGTTAGTGTATTGTAAAAATAATTCATTTGTTTCAACTTTTCAGGTTACTGTGGAAAACTTTGTAAGACTATTAACTGGTAGACTTGCCCCAAGCACACCAAGATCTAAGCGACTGTTAACTGATGACGGATCTAATATACTGATATACATGACAGGCCACGGAGGAGATGGCTTCCTCAAGTTCCAAGATTCAGAGGAGATCACTAATGTTGAACTTGCTGATGCATTTGAGCAGATGTGGCAAAAGAAGAGGTATGCTCTGGCTACAAAAATACACGTGTTACAATCCCCAGTCCTCTCCTAAGTTGTCTCTGCTCTTTTTTGTTATCTTCACCTGATGCAAGACCATTAAGGCAGATATAACTTGAGAATGTTATGCCCATACACACCACACCTTTCTTATGCCCCTCTCCATGCCTCCTCCACTCCCTCCTTGCTTTTTTTTTATTATTATTATTATTAAGACACTATCTCTTGCAAGACCTTACTGGTAAGGTACAGTACATATGAATTTGTATACTAACTATATTTGGAGTTTATATGGAACTGACATAACCACATGGAAGGAGTTTTTTTCCATTTGCAAGCTCTCACCTATATGACTCTGGGTAGTCAGAATCAAGAGCAACACTAATTCATCACTTCCTGTCATTCTTACATACTGTCAGATTGCTGTATTAGACATGAACTTATTTTAAACCTTCCTCAAACCCCTTCTTTCCCACTAAACACAGCCTTTGCTATACAGTTTTGCCAACTATGGGAAAATTTTAAAATATAAGCCCATGGTTGGCAAGGGATTACTGTATATCCATGAATACATTAATACTACATTTAAGATATGCTGAATGCAACTAGCATTTTCTTTATTGTTACAGGTACAATGAAATTCTCTTCATCATAGACACTTGCCAAGCAGCTTCAATGTATGAACACTTTTACTCTCCCAACATCTTGGCCATCGCTTCCAGTCTAGTGGGGGAGGACTCCCTTTCTGTAAGTTTGGATAATCCACCAGAGTTTTTTCCACTGTTCTCAGGTCTTTCAAATTTGTTATGCTAAATTTTAAAGTCGAATGTCAATCTTTCTAGGAACTTTGTTTTAATTGTAATATTGTACATGTGTCCTTTCTCACCAAATTTGCTCTATTATACTTCAGTGCCCAGACATCATACTTTTATATGTACCAAGACTAATATACTTTTAACATAGGGGTTTCAAAATCTTGTAAGATAATTTCTGCTGCAATGAGTCACCCTTGAGACCCCCAAGCAACACTAGGCATTATCATATAATTTTTGTAGTTGTGGCCAGTTGTCTTAGACCCAAGAGACCTGGTATTAGTGGCTGGGACTAAACTTACCATTAATCTATCCTCCCCACCTGCAACCATTGTTTGTTCTTGTAAACTTAGAGGCAGGAGGCTTGATGAGCGCAGGATGTCACTTCAACTAGTGCACACAGGTCTCACTCTTCTCATTGGGTCTGTCATGAGGGTTTTCTGGAGGCAGCTTCAAATCATTCCTGGTCACACCTCCCATTATTTGCTCTCTAACAATCTAGAGATATGTGCAGTGTCACTTTAATGTCACAAGTCTTCAATGTTAGTACAGTACTGCATCAGTTATTGTTTGTTAACAATCTTAGGTACTCATAATGAGCCCAACTAGGAATTGATATCACTCACTGTATGCCAAAGCATCATTTTATTTCACAATGAGTAATCCAATCTGTCATGAAAATTTTAATTTCTCAGGTCTTTAGTGGTCAGGCTTGGACTTAGGTGGTGGCTGGGTGCTGAAATTGAATTACTGTACTATACAGTACAGTAATATCTATTTTAGAGACAGGTTTGGGGGGCTTGTGGGTATTTTCACTTTGGGATCTAGGAGGAGTTGCTGCACATAATATTATTAGTTGTGACAAACGGCAGTGTTGGTGAACACACAAAGGGTTATGAAGGTGGGCATTGTGGAAAAGGCTTTTGAACAAGGAATACTGAAGGTAAAAGAATGCTTGGTTAGTATATTCAGAGAGTAGTACTATCAGCTTGGCTGACTTCCATGTTGTATGGACGAAATTAATCTGCAGTCATTAGCAAAGATATTGTTCAGTATATAAATCAAATGCATTGATTTTTAGAGGTGTTGCTGAATAAATTCACTCACGATAGAGTATAAGTGAATTTTTTAATTCAAAAGATATTGACAGGTTATCAATAGTTATTAATTTACCCATTTATTTGTGTTATTATTATATTTATTTATTTTTCAGCACCATGTGGATCCAGCAATAGGAGTGTACATCATTGACCGATTCACTTACTACGCTCTAGAGTTCTTGGAGAGAGTCACACCTAACAGTGACAGGACTTTAGCACAGTTTGTATGTATTTTTTTATAATCTTTTTTATTCATCATTTCACCACTTATCTGCTTATTAGCCGTAAGGACAGTTCGTCTATCCAGTGTCAATACAGGAAGAAACTTGTGGTGTTTGGTAGAGGGGGTCACACTGGTTAACACCCATTGACATATTGGTGAGAGAATCAGAGAGATTGAATATTGATTGATTCATGCTTATGGTGTTAAACAATTATATTTCATGATTTTTTATGCTTCCAGCTTCAGGTTTGTCCTAAACGTGTTTGTATATCTACGGTGGGAGTTCGACAGGATCTTTATCAGCGTGACCCCAATGATGTTCTTGTGACCGAGTTCTTTGGCTCGGTACGCAATGTTGAACTAACAAGTCACATACTTGAACTCCCTAAGTGTGGGGGGCCTGGTAAAGTTGGACTGAATAAGTCAAAGTAAGTTATGAATCATATTCATTATAAAACTTCATGATAGTTCATTATTACAGTCAGTGTTGCTATCATAATGAGAAAATTATTATTTTGAAAATAAGTTTTTCCATGAAGATAAACTTCCTCTAGAGTGGTTGGAGGTGGCAAGGCAGCAGCACTACAACCCTGCTTATAAAGGTTTGTCATATGTGAAAAGTTACTCTTTATATATACTGTACAGGGTATATATATATATATTTTTTTTTTTTCAGTAGTGGGACCAGTGTGAAGGAGAAGACCCCAGTATCTGTCAGTTATGTGTATGCTGATCAACTCCCAATTCATAGAGTATCATGAACATATAACACCTAGCTAGTAAGCTGTTGAAGACATTATCATCATCCTTAGATGCATCATTATATCTGTATGACTGTATGTACATGTTGTGTTGTCATTATCTACTTATGAAAGATTAAACACAAAAAACTGAGACCACTATACAGTACAGTACAGTTCCGGCAGAAATATTTCAACTGCAATCAAAAATTAATAAGTGATGACACACCTGGTGTTGACACCATACAGTACAGTACTATGTAATGGTTGCAATAAAGTACATGTTGGTCAGACAGGGAGGAACTTATCTCTGCTGGCTTAACAGATCATAAGATATGCCCAAAATAATTCAGTTGTATTTAAACATGTTAGGGAGTTGGGTCATGTCATTAACTGCAATAAACCATCCACCATGTACAAATCTAACTAGTTTATGAAGAAAATTTTTACTGTGTTTTGAATGAAAAATATTCAAATTTCAACAAATCTAGAGAACAATGGTTCCATGGCTTTAACACCTCTGTGGCTGTTCGTGAGACCTTACCTGACTGCTGAAGAGGACTGTACTGTAGGTTATGGTCAAAATTTCTATACTCTACTTGGCAAGGGATACAACAGTGCCGGTAATAAGCCTGGTTATAATTATAGGGAATAGTTACCTTAATATACTGTAGTAATATAATGTAAAGAATAATGAAAAATGTTAAGATTGAATATGCTCAGATTTTTAATAAATTTGGAAATAGTATTTTGATTGTCAATACACAATGGAGTTCAAGTGGACAGCAGTGATTTAATGAAAACAAAATTCTAGTAGTAAAATAAAGTACAGTACAGTATTTTAAGTGGCAGTTTTTAATATTTATTAATCTTTTATGTCAAAACATTAAATTTAATGTACTAAACAAGGCACAGGGGTTAAATTAACAGTGAAAACTTACCTTGATCAAATATACAATAATGAATAATGTTAAAATTTTACATTCTCTGATTTTTATGCCAATTTAAAAGTGGTATATGGGAAGTAAATTTGATTTTACCTTTAATGCACCGTAATGATAAATTATATTTTGTGGGATTAAGATGTTTTACATATTTTAAGATAGTAATTATTTAGCCCCTAAGATGCATGGATTTCAGCCCCTTGGAAATCTGCCAATACTAGAGGTCGCGGTCATGAATGGTGAGTTGGTATACATTTAATGATTTGCCAATAAGAGAAAATGCAAATCCAGAAATGGCAAATATCATGAATTTACTGTAATGTTTATTTATTTTTGTGATCTTTGGTAATAAATCAATAAAATACAAAAAAAATATTTAGTATGACTGTATACTGTACTGTAGTGTGCACCTGTGTCATATAAGGTCATGCAAAGTGGAGTTTTACTGTATATTATATGTATGTGGGTGGGTGTGTGTGTACAGTAGAGACAAAGGCTAGGCTGATTGCAGGGTTAGTTTAACTATACAGTACTGTACAAATCAGGTTATATTCAACTTTCTTCATATCCTATGCAGTACATACAATAGTTAAATGGAAAAAATCAGTTCAGTCCCAGGTTAGTAAATTTTTCACTGTGTGGTTTATACTCATATATACTGTATATAGTATATATGTATATATGAGGTCTAGGATAAATAAATGTTCCATCATGAACCTTAAGTACTGTACTTTCATTATCCTAAACAGGCCAAATTAATTAAACAAACGATATAAATGAAATATGTACAAACTATCATGGTGTTTGTGTGTATGTGAGGGTGAGGCAGGGATGGTGTCCATTCACTGAATAAAGTACTATACTGTATACCACCTGGATCAGCTTGGAAGTTACTTCATATTATGTGTACCGTATTAAGAGGTGCTTGGTAATCTTCGTTTAATACTTGTACACATTATTGTGTGGTGAACTCAGTTAATAAGTAGAAATTTATCTAATGCTGTATTGTTAACAAGAACATTGACTTAATTTAAAAATAACAGTGGTGGTCTGTGCTTTGTTGTAAGCAGACAAAAAAAAAGTGCTTTTAGCTCCTCGTAATTAGATATTGAACTTATAGAAGAGTCTTAGCATAATTTAGATGCTATTTAGGGATGTTATTTTGTGCTCTGGTGAACTGTACAGTATATCAAACTGGTGTGTTCTTGTATCTCCAGTATACGAAACTGTGAGACTGCTGGTCTTTGGTCCACTGTGAGTATTTACCAGATCTAAATTTTTTTCAGAATTTAGGAACCTAATGGTATCACTTTACCACATTGGATTATGCTAAAAACAATAGTCACTTATGGAAACGGAACTATTACAAATTACAATGGTTTTTTTTTACTTTAATAAGAGAATGCTGTTAGGAACCAACTGAAATTAAAATAAAATTCAGTACAGACATTAAAGAAAGAAATCAAATTATGCACAGCTCACATACTGTACAGTACTAATTAAAAATAATATCTGATTATATACAGGTTGACAACCCTTTATCTGAAATTCCGAAAACCGAAAAGCTCTGAAAACCGATTTTTTTTGTAGAGCAAAACCCCCCCTTTTTTTCTTTTTTTTTTCTTTTTTAAATAGGGATTAGCCAACCCGGGCATAGACCACTGACCCACATCGGGGCCTGAGGGGCGAAATTGTAATAGTAATAATAATTATAATAATAATTATTCATTGTAAATAAAAAATTTAATAAAAAATACACCAAAATAAAATAATAACGATAAAAATAATAATAATAATTATAATAATAATAATAATAATAATAATAATACAGCAATAATAAAATAATAATAATAATAATAATAATAATAATAAAGAAATACACGAATGAAAGAAGATCGAAAGTGAGAAACATGACCTAGACCTATGAATTATTATTATTATTACTATTATTATTATATTTTCGCCCCCCAGGCCCCAATGTGGGTCAGTAACTTGTGCCCGGGTGGGCTTGTGGGGTATGAGATTGTTTGGTTCACACTCAGGATGGATGGAGAAAGGAAACTCACGATGTGCTCTCTATATACATGTTGTATTGGATGTACAATGCAGCTTGGTGCTGGGAAGGCAGCATGGTTACAAGCGTGATGTAGAGAGAGCTGGTTGGTGAGGACGCTCAGAGAAGGACAGCTTGTGGGTCGCCATGCTCGCCAGCGGGAGAGAGGACCGCCAGGCAGGCGGAGGAGGGAGGGCCGCCAGGCAGCGGCAGAGGAGGAGGTGTTGCTGGCTGTGGCTGTAGGTAGAGAGAGAGATCACCACGAGGTCAGGTCTTAAATAGCGGGGGTAGGCGTGGCTTAGCAGTTGACCCCCGCTCCGTGGTGTATGGCGGCGCTGGTTGACCTAGACCACGAGGCATACACTGGGGAATTGGTGAGGTCGGCTAGACAGCGACAAACAGCGTTTGTAGGGGAGAATTCCACTACAATACTCCCCCTTCCCTCCAGGCTGTGTAGGAGACTTGTTGTCTGCAGGGTTGCATAGCACATGTGAGGCAGAACGGGCGGTGCATGCCTCATGTGAGACAACGGCGATGGCGTGGATGAGCCGGTCGCTGGGGACAACTGTCTAGATACACAATATCTGTGGGAGTAGAGAGGGAGAATAAGGGTGTGTGGAGGCGATGAATTTTGTGCTTCCCTCACGGCAGGTACAGAGTCGTCAGATGCGCCTGCTGGGGTGTGTGGGCCTGGGTCAGGAGCAGGGGCTGCGTCAGCAGAAGCGGATGAGGGCTCGTGACAGCAGCTGGGTCCACGACAGCAGCAGGGTGCAGGACATTAGCAGGGAGTACCTGAGGGAGAAAAGAGGGGTGTGTGGGTCCGCACTCAGGAACAGAGGCCGCATCAGGGGCGGCAGGGGTTACTGCTGGGCCGGGGTCGGCGTCTGAGGCAGGACGGGTGTGCTGGGGTCGGTAGGACGTGGTGCTTGGGGCAGGAAGAGGAGCTGGTCTCTGCTTAGAGTAGCAGAGCTGCTCTAGGGTGTCTAACCTGCGGTGTAGAGACAGTAGCTGTAGAGCCGATGATAGCTGCTTCTGTGTGGATAAGCCAGTCTTCCATGTTGCTTGAAGACTGGGAGCGTGATCAGTTTCTCCTCCATCCTGTGTGAGTGCGAATCTCCGGGAGTCACCATTTGTGGGGTATGAGATTGTTTGGTTCACACTCAGGATTGGATGGAGAAAGGAAACTCACGATGTGCTCTCTATATACATGTTGTATTGGATGTACAATGCAGCTTGGTGCTGGGAAGGCAGCATGGTTACAAGCGTGATGTAGAGAGAGCTGGTTGGTGAGGACGCTCAGAGAAGGACAGCTTGTGGGTCGCCATGCTCGCCAGCGGGAGAGAGGACCGCCAGGCAGGCGGAGGAGCGAGGGCCGCCAGGCAGCGGCAGAGGAGGTGTTGCTGGCTGCGGCTGTAGGTAGAAGAGCCAGATCACCACGAGGTCAGGTCTTAAATAGCGGGGGTAGGCGTGGCTTAGCAGTTGACCCCCGCTCCGTGGTGTATGGCGGCGCTGGTTGACCTAGACCACGAGGCATACACTGGGGAATTGGTGGGGTCGGCTAGGCAGCGACAAACAGCGTTTGTAGGGGAGAATTCCACTACACCGTTGTTTCCATTTTCCCGTGTGATTTTATCAAGATTTATCTTATCCACGTTTTCATTGTGGATTTACATGATATATATATATATATATATATATATATATATATATATATATATATATATATATATATATATATATATATATATATATATATATATATATATGTGTGTGTGTGTGTGTATGGATTGGTAAATATACAATAAATATATATTTTTAGACAAAAATGGCACTCACTGATTAATATATCAGTTTGTGTTAAAAATATTCGTTTTCTATAGCTTACCCTCGTTTTCTTTATTTAGAGAGGATCTGCATTAGAATGTGCACAAATGAGGGTGGACTAAGGAGGGAGGAGGGAGAGTGGACTAAGGAATAAGGAGGGAGGGTGGAATATGGAGGGAGCAGGGAGGGTGGAATATGGAGGGAGCAGGGAGGGTGGACTAAGGAAGGAGGAGGGGTGGACTAGGGAAGAAGGAGGGAGGTGGACTAAGAATAAGGAGGGAGGGTGGACTAAGGAATAAGGAGGAGGAGGAGGGTGGACTAAGGAAGGAGGAGGGGTGGACTAGGGAAGAAGGAGGAGGGTGACTAAGGAAGAAGGAGGGAGGAGGGAGGGTGGACTAAGAATAAGGAGGGAGGGTGGACTAAGGAAGAAGGAGGGAGGGTGGACTAAGGAATAAGGAGGGAGGGTGGACTAGGGAGGAGAGAGGGTGAACTAGGGAGGAGGGAGGGAGGGTGGGCTAGGGAGGGTGGACTATGGAGAAGGGTGGGTGGGGGAGGGGAGAGTAGACTAAGCAAGCGCCAGGGTTTTGCTCCATTGGCCTACAGTAGTACACAGTGAGTGGTGAGGGTCATGGGAGCGTCAGTCGTGCCTCCTCCACCTGCTCTCCTCGTTCCGTCGTACCATCAGCGTGGCGACTGACAAAGTGACTAAATGGAGTGAATCAATCATAGTAATGTAAACTTATATCAAAAGTAGTGTGTTTAATAAAGTAATTTAAACATATAATATAGAAGAAATGTTATTGAAGGGAGTTGGTTTATTAATGTACCCCAAGGAAATGAAAGATCAGATGAGTGTGACGATGAGTGAAGTGAGTTAGACAAATGCAAATGACTGAGGGTAATGACTGTCTGGCTAACTTACACTGAGTCATGATTTAGACTGTGTAAGGTGACTCAAAGTGAATTAGACCAATGATAAACTTTTTTTTATCTGTGCCCATGCGTTGACCTCTGACCCCTCACTGCCCTATGAGTTGACCTCTGTCCCCTCACCCCACAAAAATATGAGTTGACCTCTGAGCCCTCACCGCCCTATGAGTTGACCTCTGACCCCTCGCCCCTACGAATTGACCTCTGACCCTCGTCCCTATGAGTTGACCTCTGATCTCTCACACCCTTTATAAATTGAGCCTGACTCCTGAGTTGACCTCTGACCCCTCACCCCCGATTTTACCTAACCTCTCGCCCCCTTATGAGTTGAACCTCTGACCTCTCACCCTTCTAATAATCAATTATACCATTAACTATTACAGGTCATTGAATTTATTTAATTTGACAATTAATCGAAATCTAACATCTTTCACCAGCAACTTTATTTCACGTGTTTTGATCACAACCAAAGCTGACAATCCTGTGTCACATACAGTAGATAAAGCTGGTGAGGAGAGACTGGTGACTTGAAGGGCTCGCTGGCTTACTGTACAGTCTTGTAAATTAGTAAATACTTCCCTCAGAACCTCTCTTCGTGTCATCCTTAGCGGCAGACTATAATTTCATTTCAAGAGACACCCGTAACACTTGTGGGAAAGGTGATATCTGTCGAGAATGGACTCTAACTGGAAATGTTTGACGTCAGGAAAATATTGATAGAACTCGTCGTCCATAGGTTCAAGGCGACCGTCACTACGGCCATTGCCATTCAGGACTTCGTCAAGACGTGAAAAAAAAGATGTGACGCTGCAGTTTAGTGGTGAATGTTTGAGTAGCATCATAGTTATGAGTGGTAGTTGTGTCTCTATCTTCTAATTTGAGGTTGAGGCCATTTAAGGTCTACAAGGTAAGCCAGTCAGGAAATAAGGTTCTCTAAATTAAAGGTAACGAGCAAGTCAAATTTTGTTCCAGCCTTGAGAAACTTCCTCATCTCTTCTCTCACACCATACTTGCGCACCAACATAACATACTGCCCTTTGAATGACAGAAAACATCGGTGTAAAATAGCAAGGGCACAATTCCAGGAACAACCCGGGTGTTCAAGGCACTATAATATTCATGAAGTTCACCACGTCCAGAGACACTCATAGTTGCAGTGGAGGTATCTTTGCTGCCAAACCTCGCGATGGATGACGTAGTGTGTTGAAATACTTGGGGGACTCTTCTCCTTGACCTTCAGTAGGTAATGAAGCAAAACGTGGCTCCATCAGTACAAATCTTGACCACTTTGTCCCATGATATACGTTTAATAGAAGAAATACAACATAGTAGCGCAAACATCGTCAGCTTTTGCGCTATAGTCTTCAACGGGAAGCCAACGAACATATCTCTGTTACATTCGCTATGAGACGTGTGTGGACAAGTAGTTGGGAGCACTGAAACGACTTGACCTTCTCTGTTTGAGGTGTTAGGTGTCATCCATCATTTCATCGACCCACAACTTAGCAGAAAAGTTGGGTAATGAATTTTTCGACAACTTCCCGTAATTCTCCTCCTCCACACGCATTCTGTAACAGTTTTATAAAGGTTTTGCCAATGATTTGGTGAATTAGTCTGAGTGGGACGATACGGTGAGTGGAACGGCAGAGAAAGTGAGTGGGACGACAGAGAAAGTGAGTGGGACGACAGAGGAAACGAACTTAAAACCAGTGCGTGGGATGACGGGCACATTCAGCTAAATCAACACAGAAAATGAATGGGATGACTGACAATTTACAAAGTGAGCGTGACAACTTACAAACTGAGTGGGGGGGGGGCGACTTGAGTGGGGGTGACTTAGAAATTGAGTGTGATGAGTTACAAGTAAGTGTTTACAACTGAAAGACACTTAGATGACTTTGGAACTGAGTGAAATCTTTACAGTGAGTTGAACGAGTGGTAAAGTGTTCAGTCTGACTTATTAAGCGAGTATGACAAATTATAAAAAACGGTGTAGTAATTTATAAAGTAAGTGTCATTATTAAAGAGTGTGTGTGAAAACTTAAGTGTGAAAACTGTGTAATAACTAACTGTGTGTGTGTGTGTGTGTGTGTGTGTGTGTGTGTGTGTGTGTGTGTGTGTGTGTGTGTATAAAATTGCAGAAAAAGTTTGACCACTTTTAAGGCGAGTTGGAGGACTTCAAGTGACTGTGACCACTTACATTAAAAGTGTCGTAACTTACAAAGCAAATGTGAAAACTAAAAAAAAAGTGTATTGGCTCACTTATAAAGGGAATCTGATAAGTTATAAAGTGAATGTGAATGAACAAAGTGTGACAATTGACTAGATGAGTGGGATGAAATGGTAAATCAATAACAAATTGTAAACTTAGTGAGACCAGTGAGAGATTCGGGCGTGTTAGGAAGGTGGACGGCTAACGGACGAAGCGTGACAGCTGACGTGGCCCAGAACTTGCAGTGTAAATTGTGTATTATTCATCTTAGTTTCAAATTGAATGCTGAATGGAGGTGTTAATTATACGAGAAAAAATAAAATATTCATGTGAAATGTATAAAATTTAATGGACTGATAATGTATCACCTAATAAGAAAAATTTGGTTTGTTCGCAGGCGAGACAAAATCGTACTCACGACAAAGAGCGAAACGTTACGAAGATGAGAACATGAGGATAAGACACGCCAAGAAGAGTGTTTACCGGTAGCAACAGATACTGAAGTTCCTCACACTATGTATAACGACAGTGAAAAGGGAGTGAAGAGAAAATATGGCTCCAGATTTGGACAAAACGAAAGCCTTAACAGCAAGAGGGAATCCACCCTTAGCCTTGATGACCTCAGTCTGGGGGAGAGTGAGATCTCCCTGCCGTCCTTCTCGACCAACAGCACTCTCCCTGTCCACGAGGCCGACTTCAACGCACACAATCTATCTGCCGGTTTCGGAGTCCAACCGAAGTCTAAAGAAATTCTGGGTCAAAATGTTACGAAAGGATTCCCTTACGATGAACTGAAAGCGGAGGAAGAGAAGGAGAGAGTTATCGGCGTCATAGGCAGTGGGGATTACGGCCGCGCCATCGCAGGCAAGATTGCACAGGCTGGATACACAGTGCTGATTGGCTCCCGCGATCCTACCAATCCTCAGATACAGTAAGTAATCAAATTTAACACATGGTAAATCTACATGTATGTGAGCCAAGTGGTCACATACGTTATACACTAACTTGAGATGCTGTAGACAATCACATAATTATGATAACACACGAGGCAAATTAGTTATGCAGCTTTATATAATACACTTTTTCCTAATTATCAACATACATGATTTATTCCTGTAAGGCTAAATTGTGTTTGTGTTCAATCAGAGCAAGACAGTATTATAGGTGGGAACACTCGTGAATGAGTTAGTCTGTGAGTGACGTTTAATATTAGGCAGAGATTTCTTTCATATGTACAGCTACAACTATCTGTGCATACTTTGTGGGAAACAATATGAGACCAAAGACGATAAATTTTGATATAAGAGGGCTGTCACTAGTCACACGTACAATTTCGGAGTATATCGATCCCCACCTGCACAGATAGTTGTTTTAGCTACGCACATTATTTTATACATAACACTACAGCCAAATTTATACATATCCTTATGGTCTGATCGTGGTTTATTTTAATGTATTTCAGCAGGTGTTTGAATAAAAAAAATAAATAAATGTGATGAGGATAGGCTAAAAAAATTTAGTATTGTCTTAACGGAAATATTATTATTAGAAGAGTCAAGAGCAAACAAGTCACCTTATGAGTTTTGTTTTCATATAGTGGGTTGCCAGAGCGCAGACAACGACCCACTTCAGCAGTGTCACGCAAAAATGAAAGCAGTAGCAGGACTGACTAAGAAGTGACCTTAAAACTACGGTACCCCTTTCGGCACACGAAGCGCACTTGGGATATAGATTTTCAACAATTCATAGCTAAAAAACCTCTATCGTAAAGTAAGCTATTACTCAGGTTCACACGCGAGAGTAAAGGTTAAGACTTGTTGGTGTTGGTACATGATGGGGCGGAATTCGGACAAAAGCCCTCGGACAAAAACCCCCTGGACAAAACCCTGACAGTTAAATTGCTAAGCAGGACAAAAGATCCCTAGTTAAAGTGCAAAATAGGTTAGGTTAGGTTAAGGTATTACAGTCATATGATTTAATAAATGTAATATTTTGTATGTCGGAGAAGTGTTCATAAACAATAAATGCAATAATAAAGAATAAACATAATGATTTAAACAATTCTTATTATTATTTATTTTGTCCTGTGGGGGGGGGGGGACTTTAATCCTACACTCAGGACGGAATTCCCGCGATGTTACGATCACTATTATTTTCATCGAGGTGTATGCAACGGGAACTATTAAAGCTATTAATCTGTTAGTTCGTCTCGCCTCTGCTTCACTGCATGTTTTCTGGTCAGTTGAATAAAATAAATTCAACAACAGTGTCATGGAGATCGTGGAAACGCCTCAAACAATTTACCCTTCGTAGACAACATAATGAATGACGAAGACCCGGTTCAGTACAGGGGACTACTTTTTTGATGTGTCATGTACCCTGTTGACGGCCAGTCCCAGCTGGTGCTCCACCTGTTGTACACGCAATAACTTCTCTGACTTTAATGTTGATGCTCTTAACACGCACGTAAACTACTAGTAAGGATTTATTATCACGCTCAGCTGATTCGTCAACTTCTAATGCAAATTTCGGAGTCTTCAAGTCCTTACACAGCTGCCATACTCAATAATGACTCGTTGGAACTGGTGATGCTCTGTCCCTTAACTCTCCATTTCTCCAGTACTGAGCGGTATTCCTTGAGGGTCACATATTATGGTCTTCCTCGTCGGGGTCTTCTTGCCGTACTGACGAAATTAAAAAAAAGATCTGTATTTTTCATTGATATCATTTTAGTCTGCCGTAAACTCATCTTTAGTGAATTGTTCGTTATATCACGGTTACCTAAAGCACTTTTCTACTTTTTATGACCAAATTTTGACAGTAAAGTGTGTCATTTATCAGATATTTTTTCTATGGTTTTCAGACGTCTTATATTATTTTCTTCTTTCGGTGATCTGTTATAATATAGTTTCTTGTGTTTTGTTTCTTAACCATTTTCTCAGGTATTTGCTTCACTTTTCACCACGATTAACGTCATCTGTCCACCTCTCGTGCCACCCACCACCTCGGCGTCTGTAGTGTCCTCTGTAATCTCTTGCATCTCATTTTCTCCGTTGACTAAACTTATTAATAATCATGGTCAGCGCCCATCGAAACTCCTGGTGTGACTTGTACTGTGTTAAAAATTCTCTTGTCTGAGGAGAGAAAACACTATAGTAAAGAAATTGTTGGTCAAACTCAGGCACCCAGCCTTCATTCTTTCACCTCCTTCAATTTTTTGGTCCATCAAGAATGTTTTCTACTGGTCTTCCATCATTACCAACTCTACCATTCGAATGTGCGTGTATCTCGGATAAATAATGTGCTCCAGGCGGGGCGTGCAAATATCTGTACTACGGTACACACGGACAGCGGCCCACTGGCCTTACTGTTTCGCGAGGAACCCGCCCACCCCATTTCATCTACAGTTGGTGTGAAAGACACTTGATATACGCGCGGCCGCGGGGTTGTAACAAACATACCCAAATAATAATAATAATAATAATAACAATAATAATAATTATTATAATAATTAATAATTATAATAATAATAATAATAATAATAATAATCAACAGATTATTGGAAGAGCATGGGAGCCAAAAGGCTGAAAATATACAATAATCAAAGATGATAAAATTGCACAATTGTGGAGTGGGTCACTTGGTTAACAAATAATATACAAGTAACAGTTCGTACAATGATAACACAGTGTTTTTCGCCCATTTAAAAACAAAATTACATAAGACAAAGTTCAGCGGTGACTACATATTTGCAGTAACAGCCCTACAGTACTAGTTTTGTATATACGCTGCCATGGTGACGCTTCGCAACTGCTTGGGTGATGTTTAATTGTTATATATTTTTTTTTTACTGTTTCATGAACTAAGAGGGTGGGGGCCTGACCGAGGCCTATAACTCATGCTAGGCTTGCTTAGTACACCATATAATTTTTTAATCAACTTAAGACGTGTGATGGATGAGCCTGGCATCTTCTATAACGTATCTTCTATAATGTATCACCCCCTGTGGTCTGGATGTAAGCCAGGTGAGTTTTTACTGGCACGGCACGGTATTGGCTGCCACCGGACATAAGACACGTTACCACCTTAAGTAGAATTTGAGTCTAAGACCAATATCAAACATAGACTTTTTTCATATTTAATAGAAAGGCGAGACAAATGTGCACATCTCTTGTATTTAATTATGTACTGGTTACCTGAACAGAGACACGCTATAAGGGTAACTTCCTAACCTGCAGACAATACAAATGGTCAACCTGAACGATGCTCAGCTGTAACTGTTGATAAGATTAAGGTTCAATAATATGTGAGTTAGTTTATACAATGAGTTGAAGGTAAGGGTGGATGGGGAGGTAATGTTTGTGTGAGATGGGATAGGTCTCGTGTTTGTACCGCAAGATGTATAACACGTCGTTGAGTGAGAAGTAACAAATATCAGAATAAGATTCGAATTGGATTAGTATACCTGATTACATTACGTGTTTACAATATTTAAAAATAAACAGTTGCATTCGTATAAATTCACAGCCGGGGAACATAATTGATAAAGTAATGAATGAATTATTATATTTTTTGATCATGCAGTTTTTGTGTGAAAATTATAAGTTGACAGTGAACCTAGTGCCTGCCTGTTGCTTTTACTCTTGGTCAAATGGTCGATCAGTCAGCCACGGCGTATAGTATTGGGGGGTAGGGGCCCGGGGGAGCTGCTGCCACCTCTACCATTCACAACTCCCACACTCCCTGACCACAAATCAATAAGTTCTACTGAATGAATAAACACCATGGCTTCTCCCTAACTGTCCTCCCTGCGTCGTCATTATCATCATCTCTTTCTCTCTCTCTCTCTCCGTTATTTACTGACCAATTGTTAGCTTTACTGGGTTACTTCATTCACCGTAACCTGCTATACATTGTTATCGATACAGAATATGATAGTCATTCAACCTTGTCTTCCCTTAACGTCAAGACGGACAAAGCTTTCGTATGTGTAAGAGTACTACTGTTTCTTTACCTTCACACCTCGAGACAGTCAGTAATGTTGACTTGTTCAGCGGTAATGAATAAAGGTGTAGCGATAGATATGGATATTTTGATATGAATGCAATATACAGTCTCTTTCAAGATTCTTCGAACATTGCTGGATACAGCTGGCAACTCTAGGCCGTTTGTTTACTAGTACGGAGTATTTTCTAATACGAAATACAGCCCAACCATTAATTAAACAATGGAGAACTAAGTAACCAGTCACCCATCAAATTTTACATCCATTCATAATTTTTACGTACTATAGTAAACAAACGGCCTTGAGTTGCCAGCTGTCTCCAGCAATGTTCACTCCACGTCTCTCCAGAGAGTGCAAATTAAGATGCTACGATGTTTAACCTGTCTCTGTACTCAAGGTTCCTAGTGACTGGAATTGGTCTTATCGGTCTCCTCTTCATTCTTTATAGAGATTCTGTATCCATTTTGTAGTACGGTGACCAGAACTGAACTGGGAAATCCAAGTGAGGTCTCACAAGCGCAAGATATAGGTTTTAACTCCCTGCCTAATTTAGTTTTGTCATAATTTCAAACACTAGATGTCAACATTCCTAGCACTAGATGTCATCATTCCTAGCACTATATGTCATCATTCCTAGTACTATTCATCATTCCATCATTCCTAGCACTATATGTCATCATTCCTAGCACTATATGTCATCATTCCTAGTACTATTCATAATTCCATCATTCCTAGCACTCTTCAAAACCAATTTAAAATCCTCATTATGTAAATCACCAAAATATATCAGAGTGTTTCAGTGCGTTACCCAGGAGTTACGTGTCGGCCCATTGCTGTGTGTACTGGCGGTTGTGAAGGTTACCGCGTCAACATACGGGGTCACTAAACCCACCGAGAATTTGATGTCATGTGTGTATTTATCAGGAGCCTTTTAGGTTATACCTACTTGCGTGTCTGCCGCTCCTCCCTCTCTACCCCGCCCCCCAGTCTCTACCCCACTCCTCCCTCTCTCCCCCGCCACTCCCTCTATCCCTCACCCCTCTTTCTCTCTCCCGTGATGAATGTATTACTCTCTCAATAATTCAGTACGATTGTTCAAATCTTAAAACATAGAAAGTATAATTAATACTCATCCATTTACGAATAGAGAAGAGGGATAAGGAGTACGTCTAAACTTATCATCAATTATTCAGTCCTAATTACCTTGGCCGCACGAGGTGTTGGAAGAGGTAACCTTGTCACACACAGTTTTTAGTTTTTTAGTTCAAAAAATTTCTTGACAAAGCTTGGAGTACAGTTTGCCTATTCTGAGTAATTCAGTCAGGTTTTGACACTGAGGGTGGTATCACTTCTCAATGACACGCAGGACAGAGGTTCAAACACAAAGGAATAGATCATATTCATTGACAGTATATGTAGGTCAGATTCATGTGGGTTGATGTCGCTGTTCACTGCCATGCAGGACAGAGGTTCATACACAAAGAAATACATCATATTCAACCAGTTTAGAAAGGTTATAGTCATGTGGGTGATGTCACTGTTCACTGCCATGCCGGACAGTGGTTCATATACATTGGACGTCATATTCTAATTGAAGACTAATCAGTGTGGGCTAATAAATTTTGGATAAACAGCAAGAATGTCCCAAGCACCCCCAATTCAATGTAGTAATTACAGAGTTTATGATACAATAAGCCAGGTGGCCTGAAGTCTTTGAGTGTCACATTCAATAATATAGTGTTCAAATGTATGCTTTAAAGGTTTATCACAAGGTTTACATGCTGAGTGTTCCAGTATGGGTACAGCGTTACTAACTTGCCAGATGTGTCTGTATCCTAGCCTAATTCTGGCCACAACTATATCACATTGTCTGGTTCTGTCCTTATGCTGGCCACACCAGTACCTCTTGTCACAAAATTTGTCATATTTACTAATGCTACAACTGCCAGGTCTCTGCATTTCTCAGTTCTTCTAGATCAGAGTTCATGATTCTGACTTGAATGTTTTTAAGTACAGCATTGGACAGGCCAAGGTCACGGTCAACATTTTCTTTCTTACATGCCTCATTGGCGAGTCTATCAGCACAGTCATACCTAATTCCAACATAGGACGGAATCCACACAACTTCGATACGAGAGTTGTTCTCATTGTCAGTTATCACATTTATTTTAATATCAGAGCTGGCGTCGTCACCGCTGGCAAGACTTTATGTACATGTTTATAGTTCAGTAAAGAAAAGGGGGGACCGGTGGTAGAAGCGGTACCGTTCTTGCCTCACAAGCGAGATGTCACGGGTTCCATTCCCGGGCCGGTGAAAGTTGTTTGGACATACTTCCTAGCCCCCATTAGTCCCTGTTCACCTAGCAGTAAAAGTAGGTACCTGTTGTAAGTCGAAAGTTGCGAATTCGTATTCAGGGAAAGTTGTTGGAGCTTCCAATAACTTGATGACATAAACCACTGACTCTTCAGGCTTCTACGCCCTTGACTCTTCAGGCTTCTACGCCCTTGACTCTTCAGGCTTCTACGCCCTTAACTCATGAGACATAAAGGCAAGCATGAACTTAGCATGCTTCCCTGTTGGGCGCTGTAAACGCTTCACCTTACACAAGGATGTACAGTAGGGGAGTGCCCAATAAAAAAAAGTAAAGAAAAGCAGTAGCTCCATCAGGGGTAAATTACAGCCTCGTTACGTAATAGTGTATCTGATGATTAGGTCAAGGTCACCTGCAGTTTTTAGTGTGTGTGTTTGTGTGTGTTGACGTTAATTAAAGGATCCTCTTAGTCTCTTTACTCCAGGACTAACACCCGAGTAATGATAAGGTCTACACTACACTACACTCAACATATTTCTCGTCCCAACACAGTACACGGAGAACCAAGGTGTTATATAAGGCAAGTCCTGTTGTTGAGTATGACGTCATATCTCCTAATAGCTATATTGTTCCTGGGGTGTTAATTATACTAGTGCAGTTATCGTAGGCGAGATATCATTAAACATCGATTTAATGCATTATTGTGTGGATTATGACGTCATAGCGTTCATTATTCCGTAGATGCAAACGTACATCAAATATAGGTCAATTTTTCTACAGTGTGACGTATACGAACGATTACAGTTGAGCATGTTAAACTCCGGCTAATCAATAGATAGAAAAAAAAAGCTCTACAGTTAGTGGAATTGTTTGAGTATTGTCAGGTTCCAGGAACTAAGCACAGGTGTGTTGTTGGATCAATAGCTGAATGGATTCTATCATGGAGGTTCCTGAACTCTCTTATTCATTCCTCTCCCTCACACTAGCGTCACATTCCTCTCCCTCACACCAGCGTCACAATCCTCTCCCTCACACTCGCGTCACATTCCTCTCCCTCACACTATCGTCACACTCCTCTCCCCCACACCAGCGTCACATTCCTCTCCCTCACACTAGCGTCACATTCCTCTCCCTCACACTATCGTCACACTCCTCTCCCTCACACTATCCACACCAGCGTCACATTCCTCTCCCTCACACTATTGTCACCTCCTCTCCCTCACACCCATTCCTCTCCCCTCACACCAGCGTCACATCATTCCTCTCCCCACACCAGCGTCACATTCCTCTCCCCAGCGTCATTCCTCTCCCTCACACCAGCGTCACATTCCTCTCCCTCACACCAGCGTCACATTCCTCTCCACACCAGCGTCACATTCCTCTCCCTCACACCAGCGCCACATTCCTCTCCCTCACACTAGAGTGCCTATAAATCACATTATTTGTTGTCCAGACGCCCCACTACACCCTGACAGTGACTCATAAGGCAGGTATCCACACTCTTCATTAGTGTGACTCGTATGGGTGGTATCAACACTCACCCTTCATACTATACACACATCTATAGTATGTCTCCCTCACACTAACGCCTCATTAACAACAACCACAATCTGAGCTGACCCACTGTATAAACTAAACCTATAGACCTTGCTATAACCTATTACACCTTTTGTCACGGAATAACCCCCCCCCCTCTAAAAAAAACGACCATCTAGCTAGCTATTAACTATTACTACCTAATAGCTCACCAATCAATATCCAGGTTCCGACTATAACTACTGGGCGGACCCTCATATACTGTACTACGCACTCCCTTCTTTATCTTTAATACGTCTGATTTATATTACTGTAATGAGAAGCGACAACACAAACTCACAATTACCAGCTTCTAATTGTAACACTAACTTGAGATAGTTAAGAAAGACAAATGATTAAATAAAAGTAATGAAATTTTGTATCAGTTTTTACTTGATTTTTTTATTATGAGAAGTGTTTATGTCCAGAGTTTTCAATAATTGTAATAAACTGCATCTAATTTGACTATATATTTTCATACCATAAGAATTAACATTAATTCGTTTAATTTTATCACTACTTTCAACATTTGTTTTGGTAAGTTGGTCACCAGCACAATCACGGTAGAGTATTAACCTAACCTAATTAACCACGGTACAGTACTAACCTAACAAACCACGGTACAGTATTAACCTAAACTAACAAACCACGGTACAGTATTAACCTAACCTAACCAACCACGGTACAGAACTAACCTAACAAACCACGGTACAGTACTAACCTAACCAACCACGGTACAGTACTAACTTAACCTAACCTAACCAACCACGGTACAGTACTAACTTAACCTAACCTAACCAACCACGGTACAGTACTAATCTAACCAACCACGGTACAGTACTAACCTAACCAACCACGATACAGTACTAACTTAACCTAACCTAACCAACCACGGTACAGTACTAACCCAACCTAACCAACCACGGTACAGTACTAACTTAACCTAACCTAACCAACCACGGCCTTACTTCCAATTCTGTCTAGGATATTATATAATAATGATCACTATTTACTGTAACCTTGGCAACGTGTGGCGGTCAATACAGTACTGTACGGTATATATTTCCACTGACCACTGGCTGACGCTACAGAACCCCCCACACACACATACAAAACAAACATAGTGCAACCACACAACCACCTACAACACACACAGTACTAAACCACTTACAACACGGTACTAAAGACTAGATCTCTATTTCGTAACACCGCTATACTCTCAACGATAACGATAACAATACAATAATGTCATGTTTGTGTTTGATCCAGAGACTTGGTGAGAAAGAAAGCGGGCACACGGCTGGTGACTCAGGATGAGGCAGCGAGGGCCAACACGGTGGTGGTGGCTGTAGGGCACGACCACTACCAACGCCTCCCTCTCTCACTCCTCCGTCATAAGGTGGTGATTGACGTGGCCAACTCTACCTCCCCACAACCACTCAGGTAAGAATTTGGAAACTCATTAAACAATATGTGAGAGAGTATTATGACGATTACTATTGATAATACTCCTGCTGACACTGTTTAATTATACTGAAATACTTTATCTAGATTACTGTTGTCCTTTCTTCACTTACGGTAAATAGAACGTGAACTTAATACTCCCGAAGTAACTTTAATCCACATATTGGCGTACAGTATAGCTTAATGTTTATACCCTGTAAGTAGTTGATGCTAATGAGTTTTTCCATCATGTTAATAATTGTTGTTAATTATACGGCGTCATTAATCTATTAATTGAAGAGTTGACTTGAAACAGTTTGCCGAGCTACGCAGAGAAGTTGCAGAGTTTGTTGCCAGATGCGTTTGTAGTGAAGGCTTTCAACGTGCTGTCCGCCTACGCTCTGGAGAACAATGTGCAACAGGCAGCCAAGCAGGTCAGTCTTCTCCCTGATATGTTGTTTTATAAAGAGGATAATAATGCACAACTGAAAACACACACACACACACACAATATTAATGACCTATGTTGTAAACTGTGTGAGGTCAAGTTTTAATATGAACGAGTCCATTACGTCAGCCAGGTGGTACATTAAGTTAATACTCTTCTTTTGTGATCTATATAATGATCTGTACGTAATGTGTAGTTGGGAGTTATAAATTACAATTACATAATGACGTGACTGGAATGTTTGATAAGTAATGCAACTATTGATCTGGGAACTACACGTGTTGTTACGTAGACACTAAAATAAATTATTATGTCGTCAGGTATATATTTTTTTCTAGTCTATTGTCGTCATACCTGTTTTCACCTCTCGTGGATAATTGGTGGAGTGGATAATGATTATACTGTGGTAAATTGAGAAGTGTTGAATGCCATATGAGTTTGTTTTGGTATTTAGAATTTATTACAGAAGATAGGAATTAATTAAGTGAAAGCAGCGTCATGATGAGGATATATAATACTGATGTGATATTTGCATGGAATAAGTAACAGCAGAAATGTAATGGAATATAATTTGGGTGTATAATTACATGTACCTAACTGCCATTATTGAGTGTCAATTAGTATACCCGATACATATAATACAACTGTAACTGTATTTCTCCTCACTGATGTACTGTATGAGTATAAGGAGTCCGTGTTTGTGTACGTCAGGTGCCGGTAGCGTCAGACTGGAAGGATGCTCGTGGTCGTGTGCTGGAGATGGTCAAACACATGGGGTACTGTGGTGTGGACTTGGGCCCACTGAGGGAAGCGCGGTACATTGAGGCCATCCCACTACAGCTCATTCCTGCCTGGAGGACCCCACTCATTCTGGTCACTGCTCTCTGGCTCCTACACTACCTTGTCCTCCTCTTCAAGTGAGTCTTAAACTACCTGTGGCTGCTATAACAGGTGTGATCACTGTGTTATATAGCAGGTATAGTCTATCATCGTATTATCATCACTGGTTGTTGTGACAGGTTCCAGGTGTGTGGAAGTGTTAAAGAGGGTGAGTCGTGGAGGGATTCAACACTCAAGCATTTGGCTCTCCTGAACTTCAACCGTACTACAGCCATCACTGCTCTCTGGACCCTCACTCTGTGTTACCTCCCTGGTCAGTGAGTGATACCTGAGCTCTCTCTCTGTGCAAAATGGAATACGATAAAGCTTGTGGGGTTCATCAGTTTCTATGTACCAGAATTTCTACTAAAGCAACTGGCCATACAATCAACATTACCATGGTTTGACAGGTGTGGGCGCCGCCTACTTGCAGCTGATATGGGGCACCAAGTACAGACGATTCCCAGGGTGGCTCGACAACTGGCTCAAGATGAGGAAACAACTCGGTCTTCTCATGTTGTGGCTCTCTGTTGTTCACGTGAGTTACTGGTGACGTCATTGTCTCTTGGTTCATTATGGGGGCGGGGGAAGGGAGGGTAAACGCCGCACTCGTTATTTTCTACCGGCATGAGGTTATTTACTCCAATTTCTAGGTTGGTTGGGTTGGGTTGGTTGGTTGGTTACAATACAGGGACAAAGACAAGGTGAAGCTGAGTCGTAGTACAAAATAGCTTAGACAGGACAATAGTGGGTGACGGAAGACCTTTACAGAACAAACCTAACCTAATCTAACGTAGCCTAAACCTAATCCAACCTAGCCTAACCTAAACCTAATCCAACCTAGCCTAACCTAAACCTAATCCAACCAAGCCTAACCTAACCTAATCCAACCTAAACCTAACCTAACCTAACCTAAATCCCCAGGTAGCGTTAGGGTGTTTTATCATCAGGTGTAATAATAATCTTTGGTGTGTAATCTTACCTGTCCAATTTATCATTCACTGTCAATGATAACATTTCATAGAGTTACATAAAAAACTTTGTTACCACATATCGTGAAAATATAACAATAAAATAAAAAAACAATCATATTAAGCTTGATAACTTTGAAGTAATACTAACTCGTAATTTCATTAGCCCTACGCAGAAGCCTTCCTTTATACCCCAAATGTAAATGGCAAAGGATTATGTTATTATTTTATCTTTGCCGGGAGGAAGGTGGGGGGCGGGCTACGGATCTGTCTCCATTATAATTTATCTTTTATATTTTACCCTCTTCGCCATTGATCAGCTCGTTAGCCGCTAGAACGGTCGGTCACGTATCTGTTACACATTGGCTGATGTACGAGTGATAGCCACCAAACGTGTGTAAGATAGATTGTTTTGGGGAATAATGAAATTCTTGGCATGTTAGGTTGGCACATCCCGATACATATTGTGCAGATAAAACAAAATATATTCTTTTTCAGGAGAGTGGGTAGGAGAAAGGCAGAGGCGAAGACTATGTTTCTTTACAGTCAACGTTACATCTATTTCCATAAGTTTTAAGTATTAACATATCAACATCATAATTTGTAACTATATATATTGGCAGACTTGTCTCGGTCTCGCCATATGGTCGGGCGACTACGATGCCTTGGTGTGGGAGCCGGCGACTGTCATATCTGTTGACGTCAAGGTCAACAGCACCTCCTTCGTGACTAGAGAAATAACTATTCATAATTCCAAAATGAGTCTTCAGGGAGAGTTATTCCTCACAATGGGTATGGTCTTATATTTCGGTTGTTGGTACAGTACGTGAAATATAGGGAGATGAAATAAAATAATTTAGTTACCCTTGTTGAGAATTTATAGAGAATGGAATAATTTATCTGTCAAAGAAAATGTAAACATTTCTAGGGTAACACTCGAAAAAAATTGTATACGTAGGGACGCTGTCGATGTGTATTACCTGCATCCTGGGCGTGTCATCACTACCATCTGTGTCAGCCACCCTGACGTGGAGAGAGTTTACCTTCATACAGAGCAAGTTAGGATGGGTAGCACTGCTGACAGCCACCGTCCATGACGGTCTAATTGGGTGGGGATTCTCTCACTCTGACTACACCGTGTGTTCCCTCCCCTCCGGTGCTCAGGTCAATATCAGTCGACTTTTCATAACTTTCATTATATTTTTGACAGACTTTTATTTTGCCATAACCCATCTTAACTTGGTGTCAATAATATGATATAATCCCTACCCCACTCACCCTTCACTCAGTAACACGTGATCTTACAGTACGCTCTACATATCCCGCTACTGACAATTCTACTAAAGATGCCTCTGTTGTGTCCGTGTGTCGATAACGCTCTTCAGAAGATCAGACGAGGCCACGACAGAAAACCAAGACCCAGGCCTCCCTCAGTACTGCCCTCATCCACCACTACCACCCACCTCGACATGACCAGGAGGAAACGAGGTTATTTATTACTCTTATTTTGAGAATTAGAAACAAGATAACAAAATAACTAAAAATAATATTATATACAACTTCTGCTTGGCAATGTTTTTGTGAAAATATAATGCACATGACACTGTTTATGCATATACAGTATATTTGTGTGTGTGTATTTTATATTGTATTATGAGTGTAATATCTGTATCCAAGACCAGCAGTGTTCACCTCGCCTCTTCTGTTACAGACCATAGAGCGTGGCAGTCACAACACGTACAAGTTCAACCCTACGTCATCCAAGCCTGAGAGTTGCGCCTCAAGCCAGGTGTACTGCTGTCTGTTCTATCATCTTGTCACTTTTATCAAAATTATACATCTGTTACCAAAAAAAAATATCGAGTTACCAGAGAAGCAATTCAGCTGTATGGTATAAGTAATTAATAACATCATTATTAGTCTTATAATTTTGTTTGTCTCTTTGTAATTGACTACGTTCAAGGAATGGATGAAAGACAATTATTTGAATATTTAAAAAAAATAATGTCGAAATCACTCCATTCAAAGGTTTCACAGAACGAGATGAATAATTTTAATGAAGATCAAATAATGTTACAACTTATTTTATAGTAAGAGACAAAATGTATAAGTACTGTGCTGTGTAATATTCTTCACGGCACATCACAGAAAACGACGCCTCCAGATCAGCAGCCCCGAGCAAGTCAGTACAACTAGAACATTCAGTTGGAAAAATGGAAATGATGAAACTATGTGGGAACTTTTCTTAGAACTTTCTTATATTACCTCAAGTGTAAACTTTTACTGCTTCACTGGAAATGTCGTCATGGGGGCATATAGCATTCAAATTTGTATGTTACTAATACGATCAGTCGTTTATTGGGTGACCTTAAATGGTAAGTTTGTTTTTATTCTACGATGGTGAAATGTTAACCATTCTCAATCATTATTATAGACGCACATGAAAGTGGACCCATTGGCTGAGACCTCATCGCCAGTGAGTAAATAACAACTATAAAAACACATTACTCGAAACACAAAAGGAATTCATAATCGTAACCAAGAACGAATGGATTATCACACCTAACCTAACCAAACCAAACCAAACCAAACCAAACCAAACCAAACCAAACCAAACCTAACCTAACCTTTTGTGAACTTGTAGCCCACCACTGTAGATGTTATTTATACAGCTCTGATATTTACTGCTGACAGGGACAGTAGACATGGAAACGTCCCATTCCATCGGCCTCTGTACATACACGTCCTACCTCAACTGTTGTCATCCTTACATCACACATTTCAAAATAATTACACTTCATCTCCTTTTTTTTCTCCCCTGTAAGTACTTATACTCAGCACACACACACACACACACACACACACACACACACACACAAAGGGGCTCACGAACAGACAAACGACACTATTGCTTTACTGAGCATCTTGAAGGTGTCTGGTATAATTTCGTCACTGGGAGGTCTTCTTGTCCAAACTCTGCAGTGTGTGTGTGTGTGTGTGTGTGATGGAGGTGGGAACTGCAGGGGGATTTCAGTAGCGCAGAAAATCATAATATTACACCTCCTGCTTCAAAATGTTATTATGGTACTGCACCGTCTGTTTCAAAATGCTGTGATACCGAACCCACTACTCTAAACTGATGTGATACCGAACCCACTACTCTAAAATGATGTGATACCGAACCCACTACTCTAAAATGATGTGATACCGAACCCACTACTCTAAAGTGCTGTGATACCGAACTCACTACCCTAAAATGATGTGATACCGAACCCACTATTTCAATGTGCTGTGACGTTGCATTTACTTGTGAATCGTTTAAAATCGTTCTCAGTGTTTTAGTTTATCGCCACTATAGTCAGCTGAGTGATTTATAAACTGTTATATATACTATACAAAGATTGATATACCCTGTAAGTGTTTGGTATGTTACACTAAATAAGGATAGTTGCCTAATAGCCATACCGCAACCTTACCTTAGCTACTTTAGGTTCGGTACAACTTGGCTTTGGCGGTAAAAGACGATTTAAATGAAATAACAAACTTTACCATAAACAAACTAATTTATATTAATTTGTAACAATAAAAAACTTATCCCAATTTAGCGATATCGTCAGTTGTCTGTTTCATCTTCTTCAGCGATTATCCCCATTTAGCGTAACATACTGTATATACCCCCCGTGTGGAGACTCGCCCATCGCTATATAAATGATAACATGTGGACACGCTCTGTGACTCACTCTGTTATCATTACAAAATACAGATAATCGTGTTTAACATATATGTGTTTCAATATCCTTCAACAAATAACAGGTAAATGCCCGCGCCCCCTAACACACACACACGCGCGCGCGCGTCAGCCAGAGAAAGTACAGATGAGGGCCTGCAGAATCATGCTCGGCGCAGACTACTCCGGCTACAACAACGCTCTCTCCACCCTGGAAATGCCATCCCTCAGTGACCTCCACCACCACGCACTAGCAGGATTTGGCAGTGGACTACTGCACCATCCTCGTCATCGCCACCTACTGCCACCTGCAGTCCCCCGCCCACCTCGCACAGTCCGCCACTACAACAAAATTCAACCCATAAGAGCCCGCACTGATAGATATAAGAACAGCACCATCCCATCTATTGTTAAAATAACAAACAGCTCCTGATTTATGTACTGTACAGCCCTGTAAATGTATTGAATGTATATCATTATGTCTAAATCACATGCAAGTTTGTATATTTTCAGCCACCGGCTGCAACTCTATTAATAAACCGTTTATTATTATTATTATTATTATTTACACTGTCCTACTGTCAATATACTTGGTTTTGAGATGACCTGGAGCATTAACTGGTGGAGTGAAGGGTCGTGTACAATTATCACACTAGCTGTTTGATATACTGTACTTGGTGTCCGGTGGAATGTAATTTTTCGTGTAGTAAAATATCTTGTATTATCATTCACTTGTCATCTGAGGAAGGACCAGCATAGACAAGAGAGTGTTTGGAATGTTATCACGATCATATAGACACAAAAAGAAAGATATCCTCGCCGATTTCCCCAGTGAAAAGCCGGATAACTAATTTAAACTGGCCGGATATCCCCAGTCCAGACTACTTGACAACACTGATGAGGACAACCAACATCATCAGCACTAATGCCACGTAAGCACTACACTCACCCACGACTCACATTAGCCACTTGTAGTTGTAGCCGACCTGGATGAACAGACCACAGACAGCGAGGAATAGTGGTCGTTGTTGTTATGTTATTACTGCACTACAAAAACTAAGGTCTTGGAACGCGTAGCAAGGTTAGTTATCAAACTATCACATTAACAGTTTAAAATTATGAGATATAAAACTCTCTGTGTAGGAGAGGAGACTGGCCATCTGACTACACTACCCAACTCTGCCAAAGAACCACCAAATTCCCCAGACGAGTTATACCTAAACATCCACACAGACGAGACCTACAGGAGTGACGGATGCGATACCTCCGTCTAGATCACTTCAGCGGCCTTGTCTTCATTGACTGAGTAGTATGAAGGAGAAGCACTGTTCCTCTCCCTCCTTGTCCACCGCCTCGTCCCTCTGACCTGGCAACATAAGACAACTGAGGTGGACGTGTTATGGGGCTTTATAGCACTATCTGCATCAGGTCTTCTTGTTAAAGGTCAAGTCTATATATCTGTCCTGTGTGTATATAGCCCCTGAGGAAGGTAGAATCCAGAGAGGAAGATTAGCCGCAAAAAAACACGGGGGGGGGGGGTGAATATACAACACTTTGTCCTTGTGTGTAGTTTCCTGTAGAGTTGGGCGTGTGGTCCCTGTATATGTAGTTAAACGAACCTCTATCCCAACGCCCATAGGAAACAGAACGTTGCTGATATGTCATGCCAGGCCGTGTGAGCCAAGGAAAGCACTCTGAAGGTGGGAATGAAGCGATGGATATACAAATACGTTTTTGACACGATAGCGGTGGTTCATGAGCCTTGCCGGAAACAGCTACGGGATGTTATCAGTGCTAATGAAAGATACGTGACAACAGGAAACAACAGAGAGATAGCTAGTCAGTCCTGCCGTTTTACTGTTCATTTGTCTTACTGTTTGTCAAAGCTTAATATTAAAACCTTTTGCGTATGATGACTACTAGGAATTGCGGTATTTTAGTGGAGGTTCAACTATAAGCCAAAGAAAATGTGTAAGGTATCTAATTTATTTTATTTATCATTTCAACACTTATCTACTAACTTGCTATTCGGGGGTGTTGATCTGTTCTTTGTTATGACCTTTATTAACCAGTGTTAGTACAGGAGGAGACTGTAGTACCTGGAGAGAAAACCTGCCATGTTTGGTAGTGTTGTGCAGGGTAACATACACTTTCTCACATGTGTTGGGCCAGGACTTGAACCCAGGACAACACGGAGAGGTACACAGGCTATCGCTATACCAACAACGTCTCCCCGCTAACTATGCATAACTAACTAACTAAATTAATTAAAAAATAAATCAATAATACAAAATACTAAAGCACACAAGATCCTGTTCGTGAATTAATGGCTGGATTCACGTTACCAATCCGTCTTGAGAAGCACCATATGTATCTACACCCTTGACGTTCAGAGCTGTGTGTGACCTGTGATCGTGCGGTTGACCTCCTCTACCTTTGGGGGCAGTATGAAGTGTTACCAATGGCTCGATCAAGTAGTTATGGCGTGAGAGAGAGAGAGAAAGCAACTATTGACTGAGGAGAGGTCAGGACGAAGCTAAGTGTGTGAGTGTGAGTGTGAGTGAGAGTGTGTGTGTGTGTGTGTGTGTGTGTGTGTGAGTGTGTGTGTGTGTGTGTGTGTGTACTCGATGATCTTAAACTACCACTTGTAAGGCCAGAGACTATATGACGCCTCACAGTCTATGTTATCCCATCTCAAACACTTCTGCCGAGTTGGTGTTTATGTATTTGTACGAGTCAAGTTGTGTCCCTCTTACCATATACTGATCTAAAAATTGACCTGGTGTTCGATTTACACTTTTTTTTTACCTTCCTCCGCGATACTTGGTGGTGATAGTGGTGAGGGTGGAGAGGATTGTGTGATTATAGTGTAGTGGTGATGAGAGAGAGAGAGAGAGAGAGAGAGAGAAGAGAGAGAGAGAGAGAGAGAGAGAGAGAGAGAGAGAGAGAGAGAGAGAGACGTTGAGTGGGTTGGTAATGTTGTCTCAAGTGGGTCGGTGAGTTTACATCTACCAGTATGTTGACACAGTCACTTTTTGTCATCACTCAGTAATTCTCTGAAGCAAAGAAATTCCTCTGTCGTCATGAGAAGGCCCTTAATTCCCCCCATCCCCCATCTCAATCTTCTTCTCCCTACACCGCCTCCTTCAGTGCTCATGGGGGAGGACATGGTCGGCCAATCCCTGCTCACTTGAAAACACTGAAGATCGTCTATTTTTAAAGGATTTACCTAACCTAAACAAAACCACATAACCTAACCTAACCCCATAATCCAACAAAAACCACATAACCTAACCTAACCTAACCTAATTA